CCTTTATAATAAAACTAATAGCTCCCAAGAAATGATGTGCAATTAACTGAACTCCAAACTGAAGACTAGTGATATCTGAGTGTTCTGATAAATGTTCATGGAACAAGAACATGCTGTTTGTGATTATTACATTTCTGGATGATAGCACTGTATGAATGGGTACCTTGACACATCTGCAATAGCTTTGTTATTTTTCAGAAAGAGGAGCAGAAGGACAGAAAGAAGAGATGGCAACATGCCCAGTCCCAAACAAAGGCATCAAAACAAGCAAATGAAAGTTGAAGATCTCAAAAATGTTGAGAACACGATGCTCTGTTCCTGAGAAAAATATAGAAGAGAGAAAAGAACCACAAAATGTTGCCTTTTTATTGCAATATGAAATACTTCTTTTAAATTTTTTTAAAAATCATAAGATGTTACATATCTTATTATCTGTAACTATGTATAGATACCTATGTCCATAATTGAATTTAATCAGGCAGTAGTATCAATGCTCTCCAATGATGATTAGCATATTTTATTTTTTCTTAAAACATAAAAAAAAGAAAATATTGCTTTTTTTGTGGTGCTAACACTTTTCAACCTCTGTTTACTGACAGCTATAGTAAAATACAATTATATGAAGTCTTTTTGTATCACTTGCTTGTTGAATATGTCACATGAAAGAATTGATTAGACCTAGAGGAAAGAGGCATGAAAACCCGAGGAAAGGATATCAACTGTTTAAGGCATGTAAGTGACACCATACTATTAGTAGAAAATACCAAAGACTTAGAAGGACTATTTTAAAACGTCAAGATAAAAAGTGCAAAGGCTGAATATTGAGGAAAAAAATAATGACCACAGGTGACTTACATAACTTTTTAGCAGATAAAGAGGACATTAAATAGTCGAAGTTTTTTTTCATAACTCGGTTCAGTCATCAATCAGATTGAATACTGTAGTTGAGAAATCAGGAGACCAGAAAGGGCAGCTATGAATGAATTAGACAAGATCCCGAAGTATAAAGTTTTATTACCGAATACTATTTATTTATTTATGATATTTCTATCCCGCCTTTCTTGAACCCGAAGGTGACTCAAGGTGGCTTACAACCAGGCAGCCATTTGATGCCTTAATAATATACCACCAGCATTGAAGCGATGGTCCTCTGCCATCAACTCTGCTGGACCAGCCACGTTGTCCAGATGCCCGACCACCGTCTCCCAAAGCAGTTGCTCTATTCTGAACTCAAGAATGGAAACCGGAATGTTGAAGGACAGGAAAAGAGATTTAAAGATGGGCTTAAAGACAACCTTAAAAACTCTGGCATAGACACTGAGAACTGGGAAGCCCTGGCACTTGAGCGCTCCAGTTGGAGGTCAGTTGTGACCAGCAGTGCTGTAGAATTTGAAGAGGCACAAATGGTGGGTGAAAGAGAGAAACATGCCAAGAGGAAAGCATGTCAAGCCAACCCCGACCGGGACCATCTTCCACCTGGAAACCGATGCCTTCACTGCGGGAGAAGATGCAGATCAAGAATAGGGCTTCACAGTCACCTACGAACCCACCGCCAGGACACTACACTTGGAGGACCATCATCCTCGGTCCTTAGAGGACCTTAGTAAAGGTAAAGGTAGTCCCCTGACATTAAGTCCAGTCATGTCTGACTCTGGGGTGTGGTGCTCATCTCCATTTCTAAGCCGAAGAGCCAGCGTTGTCCGTAGACACCTCCAAGGTCATGTGGCCGGCATGACTGCATGGAGTGCCGTTGACTGCATAGAGGACCTTAGGGATCACCTAAGTAAGTAATAATATATACTTAAAACCACATTTAAAACAGAATTTAAAAGTACATACAATAAGACCTTTAAAAACATATAAAACCAATAAATAAAACAAATACCTTCATTGTTAGCCTCGTTGTCCAAAATCATCATCTGAGCTGTTCCAATATTCAATTTCACATAATTCCATGTTTGTCTATTGCACTAGATTTCAAAGGCTTGTTAAAATACTAAAGACAGGATTATCTATGCCATTGAATTTCCAATTTCTATTTATGATTGTAAAAGTTGCACAGCAAAGCCAGTCCGGTAGGAAAAATATCAATTCATTTGAAATATGATGCCAGAGGAGAAATCTGTAGATACCCCAGAGGGCCAATAATAGGTCCAAGAGCAAATTAAACCTGAATTTTACCTGGAAGCTAATATCATTAACCTGTTGTACTTTGAGATGTATTGTGAGAAGATATGATTGACTAGAAAAGTACAATGATGCTTGGCATCAGAAAAATAAGATAGTATTGCAGGCGGATACACTCAATCTGGGAAACGATGGCACTCAGTATGCAAGATGCGATTAGAGGTATTGATAACAAGACGATTTGGGGTGAATCTTAACAAGGCAGAAAAGGCGATGCTGATCTAAAGTGGGATACTCTGGAACAGCATCACTAAACACTATGCTCCATGCACCTGACCTGATTTGGGAACTGGATTGAGGCTACACTCTATTTACCATGGAGGTGGGATGGCAAGGCAGCTGCATGAGGTGAGCAACAGTGGAACCGTTTCCGTACTTTCCATGACTCTTATGCCTCCTCCCCCAGTTTTTGATATGCTGTGCCCACTGGGCATGGAAATGTAATTGTTCATCACACAGTGCTTGGAGTGTCAATATCCACAACTACAAAACGGAGAGTGGGGAAAGGAGAAATTGCTTTCTTCATCACCTCTGTGCTCTGGATATAATCTCTTTTGGCACAGAGTGACAATTCTCTCCAATATGCTGGAAATAAAATGGGGAAAACTGCCTTTTTCTCTGTTTGTGTTGTCTGTCCTTGTTAATTGTATAATTGGCAATGAATGCTTGCCGTACATGTTATGTAAACTGCTCTGAGTTCCCTTCATAGTGAGAAGGGTGGGGTATAAATATTGTAAACAAACAAACAAACAAACAAATAAATAAATAAATTTATACTGCATGGCCAAACTCTTCTCCATCTTAATTGGCCAGAAAATTATGGCAATGTTTGCTGAATTTTTTGTGAAAACATTCTGTTTTCTACCCCCCCCCCCATATTGTTGGGAATGGAGCTGTGTTTTACCCATACAAAGGGAAGAGTTGAAAGCAGGAAATGCAGTATATAGTAACACTTTGGTCACTTTGGTTGTGTCTGGAAGGATTTTTTTCATGGGAGGATTTTTAATACTAGTATTTCTTGAATCTGTGCTTGGACATGAAAACCCACTGGGTGATTTTGAACAAAACAAAATAAAAAAACCCAACATGAAATATTTGCCTTGGAGGTGAAATAGAAATCTGCAACAGCAGATGACAAACATGACTCCCATAACTGACTGGATCTGAGGAAAAAAGTAATGCTGAATGCATGTAGTAGCTGTTTTTATATTAAGCCCCTAAAAATATAAAAGCACTGTTGGATGATCAAATTTTCCCTTTAGCCTATAGCATAAAACAAATGAATATTAAAACCAAGCAAACTGATAAAGAGTAAGGTGGAACTGAAGATGTGGTGGGTCAAAAGAATTGTCTATTTGAGGGGAAGACCTCCCCTCTGGGACATTTAGAAAGAGATGAAATTAGCAGTTTCAGAATTTATTATTTATTTCATTAGATAACCAGTGTTGTATATTTAATGCATATAATTATGAAGAACAGCAAAATAACAAAAACAATAAAATGAGGTAGCAAGAAAGCTTTGGGTGGGTGGCAGTGAAGGCAGATCTGGTCCAAAACACGTTCTTGGCTTGCCTGAGAAAAATAAGGCAAGTTATTATCTCTCCATATACAACATCTCTCCTCATATCCTTCCATATACAAAACCTGGCTGGGATACTACTTGGGTTTTTATTCCATATTGATGATGGGATACTACAGTTAACAAAAGAAAGAGAACAAGCTATTTTGGAGGTGGAGACGAGAGGAGATAAGAAGGACAAGAGAGATTGTTCCAGGGGGGCTGCTACCCTAATGATAGGGTGGGACAGCAGAGAACAAAAGAGGGAAGTATCATTAGAAAAAGAGTCAGTATAGTTTTACATAGAAATACACAAATTCTGTTTAAAAGGGAAGAAATGATGACAGCAAGTGTCTGCCTACATAATACTAATTTACTAACAGATTAAATTATTAGATTAGGTAAAGATAAAGGTTTCCCTCTGACATTAAGTTCAGTCATGTCCAAATCTGGGTTGGTGCTCATCGCCATTTCTAAGCCGAAGAGCCATTGCTATCCATAGACACCTCCAAGGTCATGTGGCTGGCATGACTGCATGGATCGCCATTACCTTCCCGCTGGAGCAGTACCTATTGATCTACTCACATTTGCATGTTTTCAAACTGCTAGCTTGGTGGAAGCTGGGGCTAACAGCAGGTGCTCACGCTGCTCCCCGGGTTTGAACCTGTGACCTTACAGTCAGGAAGTTCAGCAGCTCAGCGTTTTAACCCACTGTGCCACCAGGGGTTCCTATTGGATTCGATTATATCTAAAATTAGATAAAAGTTTGAAAGCAAAAACAATGTGATAAGAATAATGATGATGAACTTTTAATCATCAAGAGCTGGAGAAGACAAGAAGAACATAAGATAGTAGAAGAAAATGAGACGACCAGACTTAAAGTTGGAGGACAATATTTCTCCTCTCTTTGCTATAGAGGCTATACAGAATTTTTAATACTTTGCACAGTTGTAACTGATATGAAGAAATAGATGTATCAGCATTAACTTTGCACAATGTTTTCTTCCTCCCTCTGTGACATAATAAAGATTTACTAAATAATTTACTAACAATAACTCCACTACCCCCACCTAATTTCTTTTTCCTTTTCCCCCTGACACCCCCCCTTGTATGGAAAAAAATGGAAATGTTCAATAAAACATTAAACAAGAATAAAAGAAAAGTCGTCTGTGCACAGAATATCTTTTGCTGACACATATTGCAATCTCCCCCACCCAATTTCTAAGAGAGTGCACACAGCTTTCACTTTCTTTTTTCAGCTATTGGTAAAGCCTGTGACTTCCCAGAAGGAGAACATATTATGTTCTTGTAAAGTACTTATTTTCACTTTTGTTTCCTCTTTCTCATTTGAAAACTTCTGAGGGACTGAAGAAGCATCACCAGCAATAGCAGTGAACGAGACACACAACCACAGTAAGAAAAGAAAATGTGTATTTTAGATTAAGTAAGGGTTTTTTTGTGTGTGTGCTTGCCATCTTTTTCCTGAAGCTGTTCTTCAGCTTTGTTGCTGTCTTTCCATACAAGGTCTTTGTGATGAGAGTTTTTGTGTTGTTGTTGTTGGTGTGTACACATGCCTTTATTTCCTGCTATGTGAAAGGTCTTTGCTTTTTAAAAATTACTCACTCCAGAGTTATTGCACCTTTCTCTGTTTGTGTTATACATTGTGGTTATACAGCTTTGTGCCTACTTCATTTGTTGTTGTGTGTCTTCAATTTGAGAGCCAGCATGTTATAATAATTTTAGTGTTAAACCAGGACAGTGAGAGACTACGGTTCAAATAATTTTTCAGCCACTAGGCAACCTTGGGTAAGTCACGCTGTCTTAGCCTCAAAGGAAGGGAAATTCCCCCAATAAAACACTGTGATAGTGTGCCTTATGGTCACCATAAGTCACATGATCACCTATCATAGGGCTATCTTGATGTTTATTCAGAGGAGATTTCACATTGCCTTCCTTTAAGGCTTGATTTTTCCAAGGTGACCCAGTGAGTTTCCATAGACAAGTGGTGATTAAAAACCTGGTTCTGCAGAGCATTGGTCAAGTACTCCATTTATGTATTTCTCTGACAGGCAATGGGAGGCAATTCTTCTAAACTTCAGTCTGAACCTGAACCGACAAAGAAAACAGGTGAGTATGTGGAGGAATGTCTAGCAATTCTCCTCAAGAAATCATTTCCCTTTACTTCCAACTATTTTTTTTTGTTGCAAATATGCATTTAGTGTTGCTGAAGCTACAGGGGATGTGCATTTTCCCCTGGGGTGGGTTTATTCAGAGATTCCTCTGCAATGTTTTTGCAGATTAAGCCCCTATTTATGTTCCAATGAACAATCAGAAAAGAAACTATGCTAAAAGTAAGGAAAGAAGTCCAGAAAAAGGTATGTGCTCTCAGAAATATCATTCACCACTTCTTTGCATTCTCAATGTGAAGACATCACATAGTAAACAGCTATGAATCCATTGACAATTGCTAGGGGAAAAAACTAAGGAAGCAGAACTTTTTAATAATAATAAACAATAATTTTATTTTTATACCCCATCGCCATCTCCCCGAAGGGACCTTGGGCAGCTTTCATGTGGGACAAAATGTCCATAAAACATAAAAGCAAAACAATCCATAAAATAAAACACATTAAAACACATTGAAATACAGCAACCAAAACAAAACACACTAAACGTAACAGAATAAAACAGATAGCATTAGCGCTTCTATCGGACCATGTTCAACATAAACCAATGACCAGATTTCTAAGGGCCCTTCCACACAGCCCTGTATCCAAGAATATCAAGACAGAAAATCCAACATATGAGTGTGGACTCAGATAACCCAGTTCAAAGCAGATATTGTGGGATTTTCTACCTTGATATTCTGGGATATAGGGCTGTGTGAAAGGGCCCTTTGATGGGGATGACCAAGCTATAAAAGGGTTGGTCAAGGGATAGTGCAAGTAGCATACCATAGGGCTGGGCCGTGGATGAAGTGCAAAACAGAGTACTCTCTAGTGACCTAAGGACTGGGCATATATAACTAGGGACTAATCATTCTTGAAAGCTAACTGAAACAACCAGGTTTTCAAATCCCTGCAAAAAGGGGACAGAATGGGTGCTTGCCTGACCTACCTGGGGAGAGCGTTAAGTCGAGGGGCCATCACTGAGAAGACTCTTTCCCTCATCCCACCAGACGTGCTTGTGACGGTGGTGGAAGTGATAGGAGGCCTCACTGGCAGATCTTACAGCCTGCACTGGAAGATGCATTCATGAAGATAGGCAGAACCCAAACCATTTAGGTTTTTGTAGGTCTTAACCTGCACCTTGAATTGGGACTGGAAAGTTGTTGGCAGCTTTAATATGGGCATCATGCACTCCCTATAATTAGCTCCAGTTAGAAGCCTGGCTGCTGACCTTTATACCAGTTGCAGTTTCTGGGTTGTGTTCAGAGGCAGTCCTATGTAGAGTGCATTGCAGTAATCCAGTCTGGATGTAATCAAGGCGTGGACCACCATGGCCAAGTTTGTTAGGCAACCCAAAGTATCCCCTCTTCCTTGTAGTGTTTGCATCCCCTTTCAAGGATATATGTTTACAATTACTAATAAATGACTCTTCTAAAAAGAAGATACCAAAATGCCATTCGGGTAAATTTTCTGATTTTTACAAAGGCCAGTTCTGCATTTTTTGTTACATTGCTGAAGTGGCATTAGGGGTGTGCATTGACTGGTATGGCAAATTTGGTTCTAGATTCAGCATTTCATAAAAATTGCCACTCTTACACATAGACACTTATAATTCATATATATTTAGAATATATTACACTAGAGAGTACTCTGTTTTGCACTTCATCCATATACACAAGACAAGGCAATTACATATTACACATAGAAGGTATAAAATCTAACATAGATAGTATTATTTTGTATTTATTCCATTTATATGCCTCCTTTTTCCAGCCCAGGACCCAAGGTGTCTCCTAAAGCCAAGAGCAAGATAATCTGAACATCTCCTGGGGGCCTTTTGCTCCTTTGCTTTTATATTCCCGGAGCAGTAAGGTTCTCCACGAAATGAGAGAAGGGTGTGACAAGAAAGAACACACAAGGGTGTGTTCTTTACTCAGGAACTCTTTTTATTTCGGTTTTCATTTCCTCTCTGCTTTCTTCAGTTTGATGACCCCTGATCTAGATGCAATGCTTCGTATCTAACAGTAGATGTCTTCCCATTGTTTATCTATGCAGTAAAGGTAAGGTTTCCCCTTGACATTAAGTTTAGTTGAGTTGGACATCTCTGAGAGTTGCAGGTATACAAGGACTATAGCCTTCTCTGCCAAACAGTGCTGTTTCCTCACCCAGGGCGGGCATGTCAGTTAAAGTAATGCCAAGCTGCATGTATTGTACAGTGCATATTATGCTAAGTCTCTACAGCTCAGCAGCTCCCTTACAGTGAATAAAGCAAGCTGGACAACTTTTTCTTATCACGTCCTACAGTGTGCAGTCTCTCATAGTTTTCTTAATGCTTCATTCTTAATCAATTTAACTTGAAGACAGTTCTGACAAAAGGCCAATCCTTTAATATAACTTCACATTTTTTTAGAATTTTGTCCTCACTGCAGCCTTCGGCATTTGAATTCTTATTAATTGCAATTGAAATGGTGGTGGTGTTTAAAGAACAATAACATTTCCTTGAGTAAATTTAAGCAAATTTTCTTGGTTGCTTATAGAAATTATGATGCTTGAATGTTTTTACCATTGGTTTGGAAGGATATTTATTTATTTACCACATTTGTACTCCGTCCTTCTCACCCCTTAGGAGACTCAGGGTGCCTTACGCATATAGGCAACAATTCGATGTCCCATAAACATACATCAAGTGAAATAAAAACATGTACATTAAAACAATCACTAAAAACATATCAAACATTAAACTACTTATTTAAAATCACACAATCATAGTCCAAGGCCATTCCAATTGTCGTTGTACCATTCTTTGTTCTCTTATTGCACTGTTCATATAGATGTCTTTAGTTTTCCCCCCTGAAGGTCAGGAGGGAGGGGGCTGATCTCATTTCACTTGGGAAGGAATTCCACGGCTGAGGGGCCACCACTGAGAAGGCCCTGTCTCTCATCTCCACCTGCAAAGGAAGTGGAACCGAGAACAGGGCCTCCCCAGAATATCTTAACTAGCTGGCTCATAGAGGAAGATACATTCAGACAGGTAAGCTGGGATGGAACTGTTTAGGGCAGTGGTTCTCAACCTTCCTAATGCCGTGACCCCTTAATACAGTTCCTCATGTTTTGGTGACCCCCAATCATAAAATTATTTTTGTTACTGCTTCATAAATATCCAATATGCCCAAATTTGAATACTGGTGGGGTTGGGGGGATTGATTTTGTCATTTGGGAGTTGTAGTTGCTGGGATGTAAAGTTTACCTCCAATCAAAGAGCATTCTGAACTCCACCAGCAATGGAATTGAACCAAACTTGGTACACAGAACTCCCACAACCAACAGAAAATACTGGAAGGGTTTGGTGGGCATTGACCTTGAATTTTGGAGTTGTAGTTCACCTACACCCAGAAAGCACTGTGGACTCAAACAATGATGGATAGGAACCAAACTTGGCATGAATACTCAATATGCCCAAATGTTAACATTGGTGGAAGTTGAGGAAAACGGACCTTGACATTTGGGAGTTATAGTTCTCAGCCTATCAACCCACCAGGACCCTAAGATCTTCTGGAGAGTCCCTGCTCTCTATCCCACCGGCTTCCCAAGTGCGGCTGGCGGGAACGAGACAGGGCCTTTTCTGTGGTGGCCCCTCGGCTTTGGAACACCCTCCCTATAGAGGTACGATCAGCCTCCTCGCTGATGGTGTTTCGGAAGAGATTGAAGACTTGGATGTTTAAACAAGCATTCGGTTAATCCGTTTGCAACGAATTTTGATGACTAAAGGACTGGTAATCATGGACGACGAATTTTGGATTGTGATTTTAGCTACGAGATGCATGGGATTATTATTGGTGGCCCAATAATTTGTATTGTATGTGTGTTTTATGTTTTAAATTGAATACTGTTTTTTAATTGTTGTAAACCGCAATGAGTCGCCGACTTAGGCTGAGATATTAGCGGTATACAAGCGTATAAATAAATAATAAATAAATAAATAAATAGTTGCTGGGATTTATAGTTCACCTACAATCAAAGAATATTCTGAACCCCACCAATGATAGAATTGGGCCAAACCTCCCACACAGAACCCACATAACCAACAGAAAGTACTGTGTTTTCTGGTGGTCTTTGGCGACCCCTCTGACACCCCCTTGCGACCCCCCCCCAGGGGTCCTGACCCCCAGGTTGAGTAACACTGGTTTAGGGCTTTATAGGCTAAAGTCAACACTTTGAATTGTGCTTGGTAGCAGACTGGCAGCCAATCTGCTACTCTAGATATATATTTCCTAGGTCTTAGAGTTGATTTTACAGTTCTTTTGTCCAATCTTTGTGAAGCCATTGACTCAATGAGGCAGGTTGACAATCTCGGTTCCCTCCATCTCAGCTGCCAGGAATCAGGGTACAATGCAACAGTCCTTATTTTCCCCTATGCCAAAGGGGGCACTTTTCACATGGATCATCTTTGCAGTATCCAGCGTTGCGCTTGGAGTGGAGCTCATACAAGGAGTTACAGCGCATTGCCATCGAAACCCAGAAGTCTTCAGAAGAATATATTTGGGCTTGCTTCTGAGTACAGATATATAGAATTGTATGGACTTGGGAAAAATTGCCACATGCACCCAACAAGGTGCCACTGTAGTTGTGGCATTCAATTCAAGTGGTTATAGTTTTGAACATTTGTAGCATATGTAACTGAAAGGGAAAACTGCCCTTTCATGCAAAAGGGAAAGATTTAAAGCTTTGCCTACTCAAAATCCCAGTGAGAAAATGCTGATCAGGTTATATATGATCATACTGTAGTGGATATGGTCCTATGATCTCTGCTACTCCTTTCACAAAGTACTGCTGCAATAGCCATGAAGGTCAATGTTCACATGTTCTTGTCAGAATAGTTATTTCATATGTATGTATGTTTTTCAATGTGTTTGCATTAGTATTATAATGTATTAGTATTGCTTCTTAAAGATGGATTCAGTCATGTTCATTTACTGTTCAGCTCACATATGTTATTGTTACAAAGCTACAGGCCAGACAGTGAAACTGTGATAACACAACATTCCTTTGCCCTGAGAAAAACTAGGGAGTACCAAGAACATAGATAACACGGAAGGGCGGATCTCTTGTTTGCTGTGTGTCTTCTTGCTATGCTTTGTTCGTCGCCATCTTTTCAGTTCCATCATGTAGTCCTTTGTATATAGACGCTTTAAGTAAAGCTACTTTGAAACTTTAAGAAGAATGCTGCCTGAGTTTGTTTATTTTGAAACCACACGCTTGCTGTGCCGAGACTGGAGAGTCTAACTCTGACAGTTCTGAGCATAACACCTACATGGGAATGAACAAGTCCTTTTAGAATGTGAAGTATATTGAATGGAAGGCAAGCAGAAATAAGGAGATATGACTCTGCCTAGAACTTGGCTGAACTGACACTTTTGGTTTTTGATTTTCATATCTTTCCTCAGATGCGAATGAGATGATGGCGCAACCATGGAGGGAAGTTACCTGGAATACTGAGTAGGTTGATATGAGGCTATCAATCTGAAATTATCAAACTATTATAAATAGATTGTAATAGTAATTGTGAAAAAAATGTGTGGCACCATTTAATGTTAATTTTCAAGTGTGTGAAGCTGTGCCATTGGGCTGCATCAAGAGGAATATAGTATCCTGATCAAGATAATTATTAGTGCTGCTCTGGTTAGACATAACTTAGAATACTATAACCAATTCTTGTTACCAGAGTCCACATTTATCAATTTGAACTTGTCCAGAGAAGAGCCACCAAGGTCTTAAAAACAAGCCTTATGATGAATGACTTATGGAGATGGATGTGTTTATTTTGGAGAAGACTAAGAAATGACATGATATACAAGGGAACTAGCTTGTTTTTTCTGCTCAAGAGAACTATAATATGAACCAAGGAATTTAAATTATGAGAAAATAGATTCCTCTTAAGAAATGGGAAGAGCTTTTTACCGTAATAGTAGTTTTGACAGTGGAATAGATTACCTTTGAGGGACATTTTGCAGGAGTTCTATTATTGTCTATCCCTGCATGGTAGGAGTTTGGACTAGATGGCCTTTTTGGTCTCTTCCAACTTTTAAGGTTTTTATAATTCTACAGGAAATCCCCCAAAAACTAGAGAACACAAAGGCAAGGGCTATCCAGAAATGTTTAAACAGAAGAAAATACAATGTTAGATTAATGAATCTTGCTGGAGGAAAGCATATACAACCCAACCAGGCTGTGTGTCTGTTCTTTCTAATGGGAAAGTGGAATAAAAGTGAAATATACAGAGAACCAAAGAAACATTTGGTGAAGATATAGACATGAAAAATAACAAAGTTTAGTACACACCAGCCCTATAACTTAAACTGGAGAAGAAGTCAAACCTAGATGGCCAGATGGTGAGCTGGTTTAGCACCATTTAAGTGAAGTTGGGGAATTATCTAGAGTTTTGCTGAGTGAACCAATCCCTAGCAAGAAGGTGGATTTATTTATTTATTTACTGCATTTGTTGACCGCCGTTCTCAGCCCTAGGGCGACTCACGGCGGTGTACAACATATAAAAACAGTTTACAATAAGGGAATATCACAACGAAATATCAACATGACTATCACTAATACAATTACAATCACACTAAATCATCCGCGCCGTCTCATCGTAGAATCATAAACCAAATCTCGTTATCCATGTTCCATTCCAATCATCATTGCCAGTTATTGCAGCACTTACTCAAACGCCTTCTCAAACAACCATGTCTTTAGTCTCTTGCGGAATGACATAAGGGAGGGTGCCAGTCTGATGTCCACAGGGAGGGTGTTCCACAGCCGGGGGGCCACCACCGAGAAGGCCCTATCCCTCGTCCCCGCCAGGCGTGCCTGTGAGGCAGGCGGGATCGAGAGAAGGGCCCCCCAGACGATCTCAAGGTCCTCGTGGGCTCATAGGCCGAGATGCGGTCAGAAGGTATTTTGGGCCGGAACCGTTTAGGGCTTTGTAGGCCAACACCAGCACCTTGAATTGGGCCCGGTAGCAGATCGGCAGCCAGTGGAGCTGGAACAACAAGGGCGTTGTGTGCTCCCTGCGTCCCGCCCCTGTTAGTAACATGGCTGCCGCGCGCTGGACTAGCTGAAGCTTCCGGGCCGTCTTCAAGGGCAGCCCCACGTAGAGAGTGTTGCAGTAGTCAAGGCGGGATGTGACCAGAGCGTGTACTACCGTGGCCAAGTCAGACTTCCCGAGGTACGGGCGCAGCTGGCGCACGAGCCTGAGCTGTGCAAATGCTCCCCTGGTCACCGCTGAAACCTGGGGATCCAGGCTCAACGATGAATCCAGGATCACACCCAAGCTGCGAACCTGCGCCTTCAAGGGGAGTGTGACCCCATCCAGCACAGGCTGTAACCCTATACCCTGTTCGGCCTTGCGACTGACCAGGAGTACCTCTGTCTTGTCTGGATTTAATTATTATTATTATTGCAACACAACTGTTCGGTCTGCTCCTGACACGATAAACAAACAAACAAACAATAAACTATTAAATAATTATTTATTGTTAGACTCATACAGTTGGAAGGGATGCCAAAAGGCTATCCAGTTCCATCCCATTCTGCCAAGCAGGAAGATGGAACTATTATTTATTTATTTATTTATTTATTTATTTATTTCTCTTATATACCGCAATTCTCAGCCTATTGGCGACTCATTGTGGTGTACAACATAGAAAAAAGGTGCAGAATACAACATAATATAAAATAATCCACAGTACATAATTATCAAACATCATCAAAACATCAACCTTACTACAAGACCATTCCGAGTCGTCTCATCATCAAATTCACAATCCGATACCATTTCCGTTGTTCCATTCCTATGGTCAAGTTACCAGTCATTGCACTTCTATTCAAATGCCTTCTTAAACAACCAGGTCTTTAGCTTCCTGCGGAATATCAACAGGGAGGGGGCTAGCCTGATGTCTATGGGAAGGGTGTTCCACAGCCGAGGAGCCACCACCGAGAAGGCCCTATCTCTCGTCCCCGCCTTGTGGCAGGCGGGATCGAGAGCAGGGCCTCCCCGGAAGATCTCAAAGTCCCTGGTGGGCCAGCACATCACCTCCCAGGCAAGGGGTACCCCGGGCAGGAAGCAGCCAGGCCTTGAAGCTGCAAGGCTATTCCGTGCTTCTCCTCAAGGTGGGCAATGGCAACACTCACAGTGGCCTCAAGCAGGCAAGAGCGCCTTTTCCTTCCTCCCACGCGGGACACGCCATTCCACAGGGATAGGTTTACACCCTCCCCCTCACAACTTCTTAGGATGCCTGCCATACGTGTGGGTGAAACAGCAGGAGAGAATGCTTCTGGAACATGGCCATACAGCTCGGAAAACTCATAGCAACCCACTATTTTATTATTATATCCCTTGTCATTTATTTTTATTATTATTGGACTCAGAGTTGGAAGAGAACCCAGTGGCCACCCATTCTGACCCCCTTCTGCCTAAAAGGAAGACCCAATTAAATACCTCCTGACAGATGGCCATCCAGACTCTGCTTATAGAATCATAGAATGCTGGGAGTTTAAAGTAACCTCCAATTGTCATCCAGTCCAATTCTACACAACAGGCAGGGGGACACCATCCAAGCCCTCTCAGCAGATGGCCATCCAGTGTCTGCTTAAAAACCAATCTGCAGTCACATGTGCTGAAATTGAAAAAAAAACCTTAAAAATCACAAGATGAACAAATATTTCTGAAACCTTGCACGATTGATGCCTTGCTTATGTTGTGTCATTATACAGAAATTCAAGAGGATCCCTCCTGTAGTTTTTTTTAAATATTTGTATTTTAAAAACAAAATTCCTAAAAATCTGTGGATGATTGAAATGTTCTGAAACTTGGCAGGCCTAAAGTGGTAAATGTTGCCCACAACTGCAACATGTTTAATACTTCTCAAGCCACTGAGGCTGAGAGAGTGTGACTCACGCAAGCTGCTTAAATGGAAAAAAATCCTAAAATTTACTGGGTGACGAAAACTTTCTGAAACTTTGCAGGAATGATGCCCTGCTTATGTTGGGTCACTGTGGAGAGATTTAAGGGGAGCCCTCTTGTAGTTCTTTGTAATTTTTAAAAAAAATCCTAAAAATTTGTGGATGGACAAAATGTTCTGAAAATTCACAGGTTTGCAGTCAAGTGTGGCAAGTTTCATCCAGATAGTCATAAAAAGTATGGTGAAACGAGCCTCTGAAATTTCCTCGATGCCACTAATGGAACAAAACTTACCAAAATAATAACGAAATGTTGGAATTCATATTACAAATCAAAATGTTCCCTGAATCTTTCCAAATCAAAACAAGCGTCACTCAAATTTCAATAGGAATTACTTCTGCCATTTTGCACACCTCTATAAATAAATATAGCTAATATAAATATGTGTGTTGCTGTCTTTACAGGGAAAGAAAAAAACTGATGGGTGAAATAGCAGCTTACTATCCACAATTGAATTCAGTGCCACAGTTTCGGGTTCTGTTTGTTGGGCCAGTTGGAGTTGGGAAATCCAGCTTTTTCAACTCTGTGAAGTCTGTTTTCCGGGGTTACGTGATAACTCAAGCCATAGCAGGATCTGATTATACCAGTGTGACCAAGCAGGTTTGCCTTGCATTAAGTCTAAAATTAAGATGCATTCATTTATTCTGTAGTTTTTATTATTCTATTTTTTGATGTTTCAGATAAGGTTTTCAACAGATCATGGTATAAAAAAAAGACAACTGTAGTCCCAAATTTCAAAATGAGCAGTGGTCAAATACATTCATGCTGAACAAACTTATTATGAAAAATCCCAAAAATGTTCTGTTCCTCTTGCTCTCTTTGTGTTTAAATATCTCTGTTACTACCATAGGAAGAGTAGTTTGTTTCCCCTTTAATAAAATCATAACTATTTGAGCAGTGGCCAAATCAATTCACTCTGAAGAAACTAATCATGCAAAAATCTCTCCCTCTGAAGCAGAAACAAGTCTATTAACCTGCCATGCTTGTTTCCTGGATATGTTCACTCAATATTGCCCTGTGATGGTAGATCAAGGCTTACAGGAGGCCACCAAACAGAGCTATTCTCTGCGTATGAACCAGTTTGGGTGCTAAGATCTGCCAGGGAGGCCCTTCTCACAGCCCCCACCTCCATTACAAGTGCAGTTGGTGGGGATGAGGGAGAGGCCCTTCTTGGTAGTGACCCCCCCGGCTTTGGAACGCCCTCCCCAGGGAGATTAGACAGCCCCCCATGCTATCCATTTTCCGGAAAGAACTGAAAACCTAGCTATTAAAACAGGCATTTGAAAATGGGTAAACTTAATGTTATCCAACTGTTGTAGATATGAGATAAATATAAATTGAATCTTACTGTTCCTTTTCATTTGGACAGTGGTTGGGACTTTTAGTGAATGATGTTTTATGTAAATTTTAAATGTTGATTTATTTTATATTGTTTAACTCATTATTAACTGTTGAGTTAATTTAAATTGTATATATTTATGTGTGTTATTGTCAAGATGATTTGTATAATTATATTGTTGTGAGCCACTCCATATACCCTCAGGGAGATGGGGCGGGAACAAATAATTTTTATAATTATTTGATAGACAAGATGATTACTAGACAGCAAACAAGATCACTATGCTGGCTTTTGTATTTGATCACATATCGGACACTGTGTAATGTATTGGCAAATATTGGGTGCAGATTCGAGTAGGGTGGTCTTTTGTAGCTGACAGATGGTAATTTTGTCAGCGCTGATTGTTTTTAAGTGCAGGACAAAGTCTTTAGGCCCTGTACCCATTGTGCCGATCACCACTGGGACCACCTTTACTGGCTTATGCCAGAGCCTTTGCAGTTCCATCTTTAAATCCTCATATTGTATAAGCTTTTCCAGAATATTTCTTTATTTACAGTATTTATATTCCATCCTTCTCACCCTGCAGGGGACTCAGGGCAGATTGCAATGTACATATACATGGCAAACATTCAGTGCCATAGACACACAACACATATAGACAGACACAGAGGCAATTTAACATTCCAACTTTTCATGAGGGTATTCTGGCCACCAGGGGAGCTGTTGCTTCACTGTCCATTGTTGACACTGATGAAGTACTTCCTCATTCTTTGCAGGCTTGCTGGAGATTTTTATGGCATCATAAATTAGTTTCCCCGCGTAGGCGGTACCTAAATTTCTTACTTGACAGATGCAACTGTCTTTCGAGCTGCAAAAGTCATCAGCAAGCTAAACAAATTGGTTGGACACTCACTCCAACCCAGGCTGGCTTCGAACTCATGACCTTTCAGTCAGTAGTGATCTTAATGCAGCTTCTTCTTCTTCTTCTTCTTCTTCTTCTTCTTCTTCTTCTTCTTCTTCTTATTATTATTATTATTATTATTATTATTATTATTATTATTATTATTATTATTATCTCAAAGCAAAAGGCATTTACAAACCAGAATACAGATTTGATGAATTTTGAGAAGTCAATTCTGTTCACTCACCTATCTCTTGCCTCTCAGTACTCTTGATTCAGGGAGTGAACTGGGCATCGAATGACTCTGGTTACCTGCATGATAATATTGGATTAGGTACATCTCCAAAAGGGAGATGCTGGTCATTGAAATTGATTTTCTCATGCCACCTTTGGCCATTAGACTGAAGCCAAATGGCATCTTTTAGAATAATAATTTTATATTTCATCTTATCTATACCTGCCAGCATCATCATCGCATGCCCCTCTAGCCGAGGGGTCCCAAACTTTTATAAGTGGAGGGCTGGTTCACGGTCCTTTAGACTGTTGGGAGGGGTAGACTTTTAATTGTGTGTGTGTGTGTGTGTATGATATGTGCATAGTCATACACCAGTCATGAGTGCATTCTCGTGTGGTGTTAGTGACACAGAGCAGGAAAAAGACCTTGGTTGGCCAGATTCGGCCTGCGGGCCTTAGTTTGGGGATGCCTGCTATAGCTAACAAGAAATGTACATTTGTATTTCTCTGACATGTCTAGTCAGGAGGGCATAGTTTTGCTTGATCACACAATTTCCGGTTCTGTAAATATGGGCATGCAAGCTCTTCTGGCAAATGCTTCTATCAGTCATGCACTGGCCACTATTTGGGCCATCCAATCATAAAGCAAGGAGAAAGACACACATCCCTGGAAGCCTAACTCCTTCCGTATTTTCAGCACAGCACCCTAACTCTGTCCCTAAGCACTGTGAACCCACATTGTCCTTCTTTCTTTTCTCCACTCCTATTCCCTGAGTGTTTTCTACAATTCCATAGGTTTGGAAATATAAATAAAACATTTTAAATATAACCACAAATCTTTTCTTTGGTACAAAAAATATTAGATATAAACACAAACATTTTTTTATTCACTTAAAATAATAAATAAAATTATTTCCTTTTTGTACTTAAAATAATTTTGACATTGGGCTTTGTGCCCAACAGCTGAATATATAAATCCAAACAGCATCCAGCTTAATTTAGTGTAAACATAAACTGAAAAGCTTGATTTGCATCAATGGGTGGGCACAAAGGGGAGCAGAGCTCAAATACCCTTTTTGGCTGCTGACAGATAATTGCCTATCAGTCCTACCAAAAAGTCATTCAGTAGCACAAATTCAAATTCCATTTTTCATTTTTAACGCTGAGATGCATTAAATTTTGAAAACATCTTAGTATTCTGGTATAGACAGATTTTTTCATATATTAAAGTTTTTAAAAAGATTCAAAAGATTTTTCATGCAAACTACAATTGTTTTGTGAACCCTGCCCGAATGGATGCCAAGTCTCTTTGGATACAACCCTGGACCTGGCAGTTTATTTCTCCACAGTCACTGGGAATGGGCTAAAAAGGAAGAAAGAACCCAACCTTTTTCCAACTTCCAGGATTTTTTTTATTTCTAGTCCTGAACTGGAATATTCTCTTCATCGATGTCAATATTTGCTATTTCCTGCTTTCCTATTAAAATTACACAAAGTAGTTAAAGATGTATTTCAATGCTATTTATTTCTCTTTTATTTATTTTTTTAAAACAGTACAAGACTTATCGAGTTAAAAATGTAGAGGATGGAAAGAACCTGCCCATCATCTTTTGCGACACCATGGGACTGGAAGAAAAGCAAGGAGATGGACTGGATATTGATGATGTGCCCAACATAGTAAAAGGGCATGTTCCTGAGGGTTACCAGGTAGTATCCTACACCAGAAATTCCTCGCTTCTGCTAAAATAGCACTTGTATTTTGTGAACTTCTGTTTTAAATTAATAATTTATTGACTGACAAAATTGTAGTCTTCAAATCTCAAATTGCTTTACATAATCAGCCACATCTTGTAGTCTATTATTGAGTCTCCTGACTAATGGCATGAGAGCGTCATAAAAATGCAGTTGCAAGAAGGCAGATCTATATGCCAAGCTATATAATGTCCATGCAATGCGACCTTATATTTTAAATTGGTTTTCAATAATACGATTATGGGGACTATGTGAAAATCTGCACACGGAATAGATTTCTATCTTGAGTAGCTTGGAGAAGATTGGTCTTTGAATTCTTAAGCTGCATATACACTGTAGAATCAATGTAGCATGCTACCACTTTAACTGCCTTGCCTCAGTGCTATAAAATCCCTGAAAGTTATAGTTTGTTAAACAACCAGCACTCTTGGGCATAGAAGGCTAAATGCCTTGTGAAACTCCCATATTTATTTATTTGTCGTGTCAGGGCAACCAGTCCATTATATTACATTTCTATCAGAACAAAGCAAACAAACAGACAAAATACAAAATTTGTGAGTTTGGTAGTTGATTAAATATCCTTTGACCAGTATCTGGCCACTTGGAGTGCTTCTGGTGTTGCTGCAAGAAGGTCCTCCATCGTGCATGTGGCAGGGCTCAGGTTGCATTGCAGCAGGTGGTCAGTGGTTTGCTCCTCACAGTCGCATGTCGAGGATTCCACTTTCTAGCCCCATTTCTGAAGGTTGGCTCTGCATCTTGTGGTGCCAGAGCGCAGTCTGTTCAGCGCCTTCCAAGTCGCCCAGTCCTCTGTGTGCCCAGGAGGGAGTCTCTCATTTGGTATCAGCCATTGGTTGAGGTTCTGGGTTTGAGCCTGGAAACTCCCATGATTCAATAGCATTGAACCATGGTAGTTAATGTGTCAGACTGTACTCTGCATCTGCTATTGCTTGTAGTGAATTAGATGTCTAGTTGTGGTTGCAGTGCTTACTCTTTTGGTTTACCAAATCTGTATGTAGAAGTATATATGGAGGATTGCGTAAAATACACATTTTAGTGTGAAATAGAATGGTTCCGTCCTTGGAGGATCTTAAAGTCTAGTGTTAAGAATTGGAAATCAAGAAAATGGAGTGCAGTATATTAGATCACCTAACATTTCTCTGCCTAATGAGAAAACAGATACAATCATTGGTAACTATGTAGTATATACTTGTTCCTTGACAAATATTTATTATTGGAACTTGTTTAACACTTACTATTAAAAATCTGATTCTGTCCCATTTTCTCATATGCTTATTGTTATTATCTTTCTCTTTTCAGTTTAATGCAGCTGGGCCTATGGAGCCAACATCACCAGGCTATATCAAAAATACATCTTTCAAGGATGAGATTCATTGTTTTGTTTTTATCATCGAGGCACCCAAGATTGAGATCCTTCCTGACAGCATGTTGGAAAAGCTGAAAGCCATAAGACGAAAAACTAACAAGTTGGGTCAGTGTGTTTTGCACTTTCTTCTCAAGTAGCCTGAAACCAATATTTAATAAGTGATGCTGCCATCTTAAAGAACTGTCTGTCTTTTCGCATAGAATGGGATCCTATGATCCTATAGATGTAGCTACACTTCAGTTCTCTTACTGGTGATCAAAGATAATGATGTAATAGTTCAACTATCTTTCAAAAGCCACAAGATTCAAGTAGATGGCTTTCCCAATGATATGAGAACACCACCTGCTCATTGTAAGATATATTCTTAATGAACTTAGCTTGCCATTTTGAAAATGGCATTAATCATTTATCTGGAATTGACATTCTCCATACAAACAAATGATTAAATTGTATAGTATAGCTTCAGCATGTCTTACCTAGAATTCCAAAATCCAAATTCTCCAAAATAATCCATGGGTAGGGGTGGGGTGGGATGGGGGGCTGTTGATATAGTGATACATTTGCTTTCTGATTATTCAATATACAGAAATGTGCTTCATACATAAAGTCAGGTTAAGTGTTTATGGAGTATACTAAATAAATGCAAATTAATTTCATATTTCTATTTGGTTCTCTTCTCCAAGCTATCTCATTATGTACATATCTGCAAATGTGGGCATTCTAAAATCTGAAAAATACCCTTAATCCCAAAATTGTCTGATCTTTATTCTTCTTGCTGCTGGAATGTTATTTCAAGCATTGTTGCTCACCTGAAGAGTATTCTTTTATCTCAAAAGCACAACATGTTATAGCAAAATTTGTATGTACTGTCTTTTGAGTCCTTTACTTAGGTCATAGCATAGTGTTTTAGTACAGAAGGTTTATTTGAAAAATATTTATTATTGTTATTGTCATCATTATCATCATCACCACTGTGATTTCTATTATCTTTAGTTATGCTCTGTAATTTTCCCTAAAATGGCATTCAAGGCAGTCTTTCCAACTCATCTCACTGGGGTAAATTGCCCCTTTGCAGCACTTTGGGGACGGGGCTTGCCAAGTGCCATCACATGACGCTTGGTAGGCCTTGCTGCATCGATGCTTGAAGTGCCGAGGAAGCGTCACAACACACTTCCTTTGCCACAATGAAAGGCAAGATGTGTTTTGGGTAGTTCCCCATCTGATGGGGGAAAGGGTAATGCGGCAATGCATATTGCTACTCTTTTCTCCATTTGATGGGGACAGGGCGCCATTGCACCTTGTCTCATTGTCCCCGTCTGATGGGGGAAGGAAGAAGAGCACATAATGCTCCACAAGGCGTCTCGCGTACCTGCCAGCAAAATGGTACAGGAGGGAGGGATGTCTGACAAAGTTCTTTGCGTGCTGACAGAAGAAGAGTAAGGGGAGGGATATTCTTACCTTCCTAGGAAGTATAGGGGTTACCACAAAAAAGCCCCCGTCTCCTTTCCTGATATAAAATGATATATCCTGGTAGCCTGAGCACAAGCTCTCTAACTCTTTACAGGCCATAACTAGCTCTTAGAATTTTTCCTGGAAACAGGCCAGCTGAAAGTGGAGCTGTTGTAGCAGGGAGTTGTATGATGCCTTCATTTTAAGAGTTTGTGAAATCTCATGTTGCCATTGTTTTAGTAAATGTGTTTTCATAATACATTTTCTTCTAGGTTTGCCCCAACTTGTCATACTTACCAAAGTGGATGAAGTTTGCCCTTCCCTTCAAAAAAATGTTTCAGATGTATACAGGAGCACAGCTGTTGAGAAAAAGGTAAACTTCCCAATCCTTATCCATATTGGCTCTATGAATAAGCAATATTTTGATCAAGCAGTACTTCTCTTATGTTGCACTGAACATGCTATTTTTATAATTACTTGGGAGAATGTTTAGCAAAAGGAAGGCACTGAAAACTTTAAAAACCTAGAGAGTGTTATATTCCAATGGAAAGTTAAAATAGGGAAATACTAGGAGTTGGAAAAGAAAACCAGACTGACACTAATGCCCTTCCCTATACACACAAACAAACAGCAAGTAAATAAAAGGCTTTCCAAGAAAAAGGTGTGCTTACAAGAAATAGTCAAATGAAAGTAATATGCAATACAAAAACATTAAAAGTGATATTTTATGAAACAAGAATGATTGTTTTCTAACTATAAGAAAGGGACTGAAGTGTAACCAAGGTATAGATTATAGAGTGGTTAACTACAGAAAGAAGGGTCCACTTTAAACAGTTATAAACAGTGTTTAACATTTGGAAAATAGATATTATGTTCAAGTTGTTTCACGTTATGGAGTCCCTAAGGCAAACCTATCATGGGGTTTCTTGTCAAATTATGTTCAGAGGCGGTGTGCTGTTGCCTTCTATCAACATTGAAAGAGTAATCCATGCCCAAACCCATCCCTCATGGGCAAGTGGGGATTGGAACCAGGATCTTCTGGATTCCTAATACATCCTCATCATAGGTGATTCCTCGTGGCTGAGTGTGATTGTTTTCCTAGGCCATTGTCTTGGTGGTAGATCTGTAAATGACTATAGATACCTACTCTGGATCCAGGCCTGTAGCCGGGGGGGGGGGGGGGGGGTGGGGGGTGGGGGGGGGGGGGGGGGTTAGGGGTTCAACCCCCCCCGAATTTTTTCAGGTTAAAAAAAAACCTGGTTTACTCATGAATTTTAACTGGTTAACCAAATCCCCATGCTAAGTCTATGAGACGCAAAAAATTAAGAGTCCCTCCAGAACTGCAAGCACTATCTCAAGCAAATATTGACAATTTATTCACACTGTCATTACTTGCAGCAATAGCCGATGTAGCGAAGCAACCAAGTTGTGGGGGGGGGTGTTGAATGCTCTCATTAAGGAGGCCAGACTTGGTGGAGGTGGTTGACAGGGGTGGAGCTGCAGGCTATTGAAGGCTGCTCTGCCCCCTGCTGTGCTCTTTGCTTCAGCTTGACCCTAACCCTCTCCCCTGAAATTTTCAACCCCCCCTGAAACATTTAACCCCCCCCTGAAATTTTCAACCCCCCCCGAAATTTTCAACCCTCCCCGAAATTTTTTTCTGGCTACGACCCTGTCTGAATCCACATGGTCATTTGCAGTGAAGACGTACATTTACAGATAGAAGGTGATCACAACAAGAGGTTGTTCGATTCACCTTCTACTTGGCTCATTTTGCCCTTTTGCCCTTTATTCAAGCCTTTTCAAAATCTATATCACTGTTGGTAACAGCTGACCTCCAGTTAGAGTGCTTGAGGGCCAGACCTTCCCAGTTCTTCTGTTTTTCCACGTTTAATATACTGTAAGTCTTGTCTAGGCACCAAATTTTGCGGTTTACGTATGGCAGTTATGAATCTTCCCAGAAAATTACAAGCCTGGTGTTGTCATAGGGCCCTTCCACATAGGGCCCTTCCAGAATATCAAGGCAGATAATCCACAATATCTTCTATAGAACTGGGTTGTCTGAGTCCACACTGCCATATAATCTAGTTCAATGTGGATTTTATACAGCTTTATACAGGAAGTGGCTTTAGTAATGTTAAAACTAACAACTATTAGAAGTGGTTGGGCAAGAAAATGAGATTTTACTTGATAATTTTTATGTTTTTTTTTGTTTCCCACGTAGATGCAAATTACAGCGGAAAGACTTGGCATCCCTTTGAGTAACATAGTTCCTGTTAAAAATTACTGTTCAGAGCTGGAACTCAAAGAGAATGTTGATATCCTGATCCTGCTGGCACTGAGGCAGATTCTGCGCTTTGGAGAAAGCTACCTAGATAATTTCCAATCGGGCAAAATTGCTATGGTGGATTAATATTCTGATCCGTGGTTGGCCTAATAAAGTCAGTTCGGCACTGTCAATATCACATCACATTACTATTTTTCCCCTTTAACTGATGTGTCTGTCTTTTATGCAATTCTGGGATTTGCAGTTTAAGGAGGCATTTAGAGTCCTCGGGCTGTGTTCTTGGGTCTCACTAAACTATAAAACCCAGAATTCCACTGGAGTCAGCCATATAGTGTAATACTGATTATATGGTGACATGTTAAAGATCAAATGCCATCATTCCTTTCTTTTTTCTGCATTTCTTTGTCAGAAGTACATATAAAAACTGACTGTTTTTACATGTCATTTTTCTGTCACTGAATCACTTGCATTGAGATTTCTTTATGCTCTTTATTAGTTATGTTTTGGGCTTATTAACATTATACCAGAAATGGGCAATTTATTAATGATAATAGTTATTCTGTGCACTAGGAAGAAAGGACCCTTTTGGTATTTGATTTCCACAAATGTGCAGGAATCAATTTTCCATTTTCATTCTGTACATATTAGAATGGAACCACATGCTAGGAAAGTGGAAGGCAGTAGGAAAAGCATTTTATAGGTATATAGGTTCAGTCAAGGAAGCTACTTGTCCTGAATTTGCAAGACTTTTAATATTAAGACCTTTTGGAGCTTGTCGTTTATAGGATCACCATAAATGATTCTGTGATTCTATGGCCCCTTCCACACAGCTGTATAAAATCCACATTGAACTGGATTATATGGCAGTGTGAACTCGGATAAGCCAGTTAAAAGCAGATATTGAGCATTATCTGCTTTGATATTCTGGGTTATATGTTTGTGTGGAAGGGCCCCAAGAGACCATGATGGACAAAAGAGGGAGATGGACATGGGTCCACTCTGCAACTAGACCTTTTAATTTGGAGTCCCCCAATTCTGGAGGAAAAAAAAGAGGAACCAATGAAATATAATCTCTATGAGAGGGAGGGGGAGGAGGAGGATATAAAACAAAGTAAATAAATACAAATATATTTACAAATATATACAAATATGTGCCATGAAAAAATGATGACAATAATGCTCTATATTCTGCAGTATTTAATTCTTTATATAGAAATAAACAATGATATCCATCTCAGTATGGCTTTTGTCTGTAATGGTAAAATTTTATGTATACAAAATAATTGTTTTTAAATAAATTTCTTCATGATTTATTATCAGTAAATTGTTGACATGTATATTTATTTTACATATCTATATACCCAGTGTATTTTATTGGGCAAAAAGTGGTCATGTGTGGAAAAAGTATAAGAAACCACATGTTAGAGGAGTACAGCTAGAAGGCAAGTGAAATAAAGTCCTCATTTTGCTAGCATTGTTTGTGTGTACATAATAGATGCAATATCTATTGATTTATTTCTAACATTTCTATCCCATCCTTCTCAACCCCGACGGGGGACTCAGGGCGGCTTACAAATGGAAGTCATTAGATGCCAACAATAACATCAATCACATTAAAAACAAATTGACAGTCAGAAGAACATCAGGATTACAAATATAGATTAAAATATTAAAAATGAAATGTTAAAAAATTGAAACATTAAAACAGTGCCATGCCCAAATCACACATCTAAATCAAAGTCCAGAGTTCCAGTCCGATGTCTATTCATGGTTAATTCTCATTAGTCAATTGTTCTTACTGTTCAGTCAGCTGCCCAAATGCTTGGTCACAGAGCCATGTTCTGACCTTTTTTTCTAAAGGAGAGGAATGGAAATCGCCCTCATTTTGCTGGTGAATGTGTTCCATAGGCGGGGGCCACCAATGAGAAGGCCCTGTCTCTCATCCCTGCCAACCACGCGAGGGTGGCAGGATTGAGAGCAGGGCCTCCCCAGACAATAGTAAACTCCAAGGTGGATCATCGAGGAGATACGTTCGGACAAGTAAGCTGGGCCAGAACCCTATAGCACTTTATAAGTCAAAACCAGCACTTTGAATTGTACTTGGTAGTGGAGCTGGCGTAACAGAGGGGTTGTGTGCTCCCTGTATGCTGCTCTGGTGAGCAGCCTGGCTGCCAACCATTTTACTAGTTGAAGCTTCTGGGCAGTCTTCAAAGGCAGCCCCACGTAAAGTGCATTGCAGTAGTCTGTTCGGGATGTACCAAGAGCATGGACCACCGTGGCCAAGTCAGACTTCCCAAGGTACGGGTGGTCCATGCTCTTGGTACATCCCGAATAGACTACTGGGTGGTCCAGGAAAATACTGGTGATATTTAGCAGATGGTTGTTATGGGATTAATAAAAATGGCCTGTGAAAGGTTTGTGTTTTGAATTCTGATTAAGAGATGCTAAGCCTGTAGTTACATATTTCATCCCTATTCCATCAGTAGATCCCAAAAGGACTTCAACTGAGTACAAGACCTCATGAGCAGAGCAAAGTTTGTGTACATGATTAATGAATGATTTTTATATAGCCCTGCATTGAAAAACAAAACTCATAGGCATCCATACAGCAGTTTGCAAGTAAGCAGCATATGCCAGCAATTAAGCCCATGTCCTCTTCTTTCTGGAAGATGGGTATTTGAGGTTACATTCGGACTAAATTGCCATGATATCATGATAGTGAACTGGGCATCAGAATTTGTTGTGTGTGAAAGAGCTATGCAACAAAAGCTAGGAATAGGTTGTGATTGTGGGTGTCTGTATGGGGTGGGGAGGCAAGGAGAAAGGGAGAGATCCACTCTCGGTGGAGGCCGAGGAAAAGGGGTATAGGATCTTGCACTTTCCAAAAGGATCAGGCAAAACCAAGCTTTTTCAGTCTCTCATAGCTTGTGGGTTTTCTTCATCAAAAACTTCTGTAATTTTTTTAAATTAGATTTTTATTATATCATACCATTAATTAGATCATAGTAGAACATCAAAAGAGTGGGAACAATTTCCAAATAGGAAAGTTGAGAAAAAGAGATAAAAAAGTGCAATTGAAAAAAAGGGTGATTCCAAGGGAAAGAAGAAAAGAGGGAGAAAGAAGTAAACAAGGGAGAGAAAGAAGAGAAAAATGGATGAAAATGAAAAAAAAACTGTAAAAATAAAAAAATATAGTACATATATGGTTTAACTTCCTTCTATTCTTCAGTGGTTGCTAACAAAAAAAGGGGGGGGGGAGACAAATAATTGGCCCCCCTTAGGGACCAGGTCAAAATAGCCTATACATAACTGTATTTTCTAATCTTCTTGTGAGCATTTATTCACTCATATTATTACATCTATCTTTAGTTGCATTAGGTAATTCTTTACCAGGTCCCAGTTCATTTGTTGTTGTTTTTTTTTTGGTAGTTCTTGATTGAGAGTAATCCAGTACATAAGTTTGTCCATGTTCATTACTTCCAAAACTTTCTTTATCCAATCTTCTTTTTTTGGAACCTCCTTTTGTCTCCAATTTTTGGCAAATACAATTCTCGCCGCAATAACTAAATAATTGAAAAGAATTTCTTTGTCTTTATCTTCCGTCACATCCAGTATGCCCAACAAGTAGTATTCAGGTTCTTCACCAATCTTTATATTTAGTATCTTTTGTATATCGGTATGGATTTCTGTCCAAAACTTCTGTAATCTTGACCATGCTCTGATGCTGTTTGGCCACACATGTGCTATGAGGCATACCCATTACAGGCAATCCCCAAGTTATGAACAAGATATGAATTTGTATGTAAGTCAGAACAGATTCATTTTTGAATGTAATTCCAGCCCTCTTCCCCCTCACACGCACACACTCTCACACACACATATATATAGCATAGTGTTTGTTTTGCTGCCTGTGCCCCTGTTCAGAATTTTCCAAACCTCATTTACACAGTAAAGATTATATGGAGAAATAAGTAAATGTTATATGGAGAAATATATATCTTATAAGGGGAGTGGAATTTTATTCAGCAATAGTTCATTCAATCTCAAATGTGTTCAGGAAGAGAGTTCCCACTTTCTTCCATCTTCCAGTGCTACTTTGACCAGAACAATCTGGCAGTGGCCTTGGAAGTGATGGGTTGTCCTGAACTTTGCTTGCCTTTAGAATTGCTCCGTAAACATAGAAATTACAAACCTTTAGCCTCAGTATATTTGTAAAACGAATCCCTACTTTCAGACAGGCATTTCATACATGACTAATTCTAGACATGTAAAACAAAAATATTCCTTTTCGGAACAGTCCATAGAGCTTTACCCGGTGGTGCAGTGGGTTAAACTGCTTAGCTGCTGAACTTGCTGACCAAAAGGTCGTTGGTTTGAATCCAGGGAGCTGGGTGAGCTCCTGCTGTTAACCCCAGTTTCTGCCAACCTAGAAGTTTGAAAACATGCAAATGTGAGTAGATCAATAGGTATCGCTACGAGGGATGGTAACAGCGCTGCATGTGTGTTGGCAGGCTGCAGGAAATCAGGGTCTGGCCTAACAGGTGCTTCTCCAAGGAGGGAGAAAATGATATGTAATACTTGAATGCCTGAGGATGAATGCGTGTACATGTGTATGCAAGTTGAGTGAAAATGTAATTCCCCTTTGTTTGTTTGTTTGTTAACCAATGTAATTGTACATCCAATGTAGTTGCATAGAATCTGTATGTCTGTATGTCCAATGTCATTCTATGTCTAAATGTTTTTCTGTAATCTGATATACCCCCTCACATTGGAAATTGCAATAAAAAAAACCTATGCTTCAAAGTCATTGAAAAGTCATTCATGACTTTGGCTTAGAAATGGAGATGAGCATCACCTCCCAGAGTTGGACACAACTAGATTTAATATCAGTATAATAATATAACATAATAAAACTTTATTTCTATTCTGCTTTATCTCCCCAAAGGGACTCAGGGCGGATTCCAAACATAAAAGGCAAACATTCAGTGCCTGAAGACAACAACAAGGGGAAACCTTCACTTTTTATAGGGCTTAGAAAGATTGTATTTTAAAGATATCGCAGCAGTGGAATTCTGATACTTCTGGCACTTACTGTTCTGAATATCCATATGGGCAAAAAAGTGGGAGGCCTCTGTCTGATGACATTCTAGAACAGAAACAACACTGAAGTCAACATGTTGACTTGTGCTTGCCACACCATCATTAAATATATTTTTGATATCTTTTGCCTGTTAAAGAAGCCAGTTAAGCTTCAAAAGTTTCCATCTTGTTTTTTGTGCATTTTGGTTCAATTGTTAGTCTCAAAAAAGCTGTCTCAAAACAGGGAATCCTTTTAATTGTTCGGCTAAAATACTAAATGTTTTCACTGATCTGATTTTTTTTTTTGCCTCCTGACCTTTCAAAACTGTTCATTGGGTTTCAAATCCCTTATGGTTTAATAAGATGATAAAAGTTAGTAATACTATGACTCAGTAAATTACATGGGAATTTCAGTTAATAATTAATTCCTCTAGAAACTGGTCAACATCAGCAACAAGTGGCTGGGTACAAAGATCAGTCAGTGAATCCAAGCTGGAAAATCTTTAACTCATTTTTAAAAAAACACCCTTAGTAACTTTTTCTCATTGATTGAATCTTAGCATTCTCTTTGGATCCCCCCTCTCATAAGAAGCATGATATGCAAAAAGCAGATTTTTAATTCACATAGTTAATGGGATGGCTAGATATTTTTCATCTAATGGGCATAGTGAGAGTGGGAAGGCATTGATTTAGTCCTTTGTAGCTTTTGACTTCAAATGCTGGTATTTCCAACTGCCTCAAAAGTGTAAGACTCACTGAAGAATGGATGGGGAAAAGGCTGTATTGGGGGTTGAGTGTGGAAGGAGAAGCCTAAAGAAGAAAATATTGTTTGTATATGTTTATACAGCATGCCCTAACTCTTCCCCATCTTAATTTCCCAGAAAAAAATAGTAATGTTTGCTGAAACTTTCAGAAAAATATATTCTGTTTTATATCACTCATCTTTTTGGGAATGGAACTGACTTTTACTCATGCAAAGTGAAGAGTTGAAAGAAGAAAAAATAGAATACAGTAACACTTTGGTCACTTTTGTTGTGTCTGGAAGGATTCTTTCATAGAGGGATTTTTAATACTAGCATTTATTGAATCTGTGCTTGAACATGGAAACTCACTGAAACTCTCTCTTGATATATAAAATCTGGCTGGAATACTACCTGGATTTTCATTCCGTATTGATGATGGGCTACTACAGTTTACCCACACAAGTGAAAAAAACAAGCTATTTTGGAGATAGAGACAGAGGAGATAGGAAGGACAAGAGAGGTTGTTTCAGGTGGCTGCTACCCTAATGGTAGGGCTGGCCATGGGTGAGACGGTAGAGAACAAGAGAAGGAAGTATAATTAGAAAAACAGTCTGCACACAGAGTATCTTTTGTTGACACACATTGCAATCTCACCCAACCAGTTCCTAAGATATAGTGCACACAGCTTTCACTTTCTTTTTTCAACTATAGGCAAAGCCTGTGCCTTCCGAGAAGGAGAGCATATTATCAGTTCTTGTAAAGTGCTCATTTTCACTTTTGTTTCTTCTTCCTCGTTTGAAAACTTCTGAGGGAATGTAGAAGCAACACCAAGCAACAGCACTAAATGAGACAAACAACCACAGTAAGAAAATAAAATGTGAATTTTAGATTAAGCAAGGGTTGTGTGTGTGTGTGTGTGTGTGTTTGCCATCTTTTTTTGCCTATGTGAAAGGACTTTTGTTTTAAAAAACTGCACAGTCTTATTTTGTCACTTATGGTAGTCCAGAGTTACAGTACTTTCCTCTATTTGTTTTATATATTGTGGTTATGCAGCTTTGTTCCCACTTTATTACTTCATTTGTTGTTGTGTGTCTTCAAGTCGAGAGCTGGCATGACATAGTGGTTTCCACCAGGACAGTAGCTGAATCCCTTTTTAGCTACTGGGTAACCTGGGGTAAGTCACACTCTCTTACAACCATCAAATGGTGATGATTCTGGCAGTTCCCATTAGAGGCATGGTGAACCCATTGCCCCACGTCCTGCATTGCCTGACTCAACTGAGTCCCCATCCCACCGGGGTGGGGTGGGGGACCTCAACTGCCCTGCTTTCCCTCATTGTTCCTGGTGCTATGCGGTAAGTCTTTTGTGTTGCCACTGTGGCAGCTTACTCTGGTTTGCTTTCCCTTTAACCATAGAGACCTGCTGGAAGTAACTATGCATTGTTGAATGGGAGTCGGTGGGTTCTGTGATTAAAGAAAAGGGGAATCGGAGCATGCTGCCGAATTCACCCCTGACTGATTAGTTCATTAGCCTCAGAGGAAGGGAAATTCTCCCAATAAAACATTGCAATAATTTTCCTTATGGTTTTTTTTTTGTCGTGTCAGGATCATCCTGTTGTGAGAGAATTGGCTGTCTGCAAGGACATTGCCCAGGGGACACCCGGATGATTTTTGATGTTTTTATCATCCTTGTGGGAGGCTTCTCTCATGTCCCCGCATGGGGAGCTGGAGCTGATAGAGGGAGCTCATCCGCCTCTCCCCAGATTCGAACCTGCGACTTGTCGGTCTTCAGTCCTACCGGCACAGGGCTTTAACCCACTGCGCCACCGGGGGCTCCTTCCTTATGAGCTGGACTCCAATTTCACCACAGTTCCAGGGGAGGTGATTGAGGCATCTGCTTGTCCAAGTTTGTGGGATTCCTTTAGGCTTGTTCTTCCTGAGACTGTGGAGGAGGTCCTTGGTGCTGTGAGGGCAACCACGTTGGCTCTAGACCCTTGCCCCTCTTGGCTCATTAAATCGGCCAGGGAGGGGTTGGTTGATTGGTTTGTGTTGATCATTAATGCATCACTGGAGCAGGGGGTTTTTCCATCTCAATTGAAACAAGCAGTGGTTCGTCCACTCCTTGACTCCACCCCTTGACTCCACGGTGTTGAACAACTTCAGACCAATCTCCAACCTCCCTTTCTTGGGCAAGGTGCTGGAGCAAGGTGCTGTGGTTGCCTCCCAACTCCAGGGCTTTCTAGATTACAACAACTACCTAGATCAGTCACAGTCTGGTTTCAGGCCTGGCCACGGCACTGAGACGGCCTTGGTCGCCTTAGTGGATGACCTCCGTAGAGAGCTGGACAGGGGGAGTGTGACTCTGTTGGTTCTCTTAGACATTTCAGCAGCTTTCGATACCATTGATCATGGTATCCTTCTGGGTCGACTCTCTGGGATGGGTCTTGGGGGCACGGTTTGTCGTTGCTCTGGTTCTTCTTGGAGGGTCGATCCCAGATGGTGAAGCTGGGAGATGCCTGCTCAGACCCCTGACCTTTGACCTGTGGGGTCCCGCAAGGCTCTATTTTGTCTCCCATGCTTTTTAACATCTACATGAAACCGCTGGGAGAGGTCATCCGGAGTTTTGGAGTTGGGTGCCATCTCTACGCAGATGACACACAGCTCTATTACTCTTTTCCACCTAATTCCAAGGAGGCCCCTCAAGTGCTGGATGAGTGCTTGGCCGTTGTGGCTGTCTGGATAAGGAGGAACAAGCTGAAGATCAATTCCGACAAGACAGAGGTCCTCCTGGTCAATCGAAAATTGGATCGGGGTATAGGGTGGCAACCTGTGCTGGACGGGGTTGCACTCCCCCTGAAGTCACAGGTCCGCAGTTTGGGAGTCCTCTTGGATTCAGACAAGCCCCTACATTGACATCAGACAAGCCCCTACATTGCCAGTCTTTAGGAAGAGCTTGAAGACCTGGCTATTCCGGTGCGCCTTTCCAGAATAGGATACTCCAGCAATACGTCCCAGAAGCACTTTATTAGAGATTGTCCGCACATTGCACTTACCCAAAAATCCTTATATCTCACTCAGCATACTCAGCACTTTTTAATCTGTACCCATTACATTTGGCCTGGCCTAGTTTTATTGTGTTACAGTGTACTGTTTTTACTGCTTACTGTTATTGCTTTAATGTTTTGATTTGCTTTGGTTTATGTGTATTTGTTACATTGTTGTTCTATTGAGGCCTTGGCCTATGTAAGCCGCATCGAGTCCTTCGGGAGATGCTAGTGGGGTACAAATAATGATGATGATGATGATGATAATAAAACTTAGTTCTCCAAAGCCCTGGTTAAGTATTCCAATGTGTAATCATTTATGCATTTCTCTGACAGGCAATGGGAGGCTTTTTTTCTCAACCTCAACCTATTCCGACAAAGAAAACAGGTGAGTGTTTGGAGGAATGCCCTTTACTTCCAACTAAAATTATTCATGTTAAGCAACTGTGTTGCTGAAGCTACAGGGGATGTACATTTTCACCTAGGGTGGATTTATTCAGTGTTTCTTCAGCTAACATTTTTGCAGATCAAGCCCCTATTTATGTTTCAATGAACAGTCAGAAAAGAAATCATGCTAAAAGTAAGGAAATAAATTTAGAAAAGGTATGTGCTAACAGAAATATCATCATTCACCACTTCTTTGCATTCTTTACACCACATAGTAAATAGCGTTATCACTCCATTAATTGCTAGGGGAAAAAAATAAGGAAGCAGAACAGTTAGGCAACCCAAAGTACCCTCTTATCCTTGCAGCATTTGCATCTCCTTTTCAAGGATATATGTTTACCATTACTAATAGATGATTAGTAATGAAGAGAAGAGATCAAAATACTATTGGAATAATTTTGGAATTTTTGCAAAGGCCTGTTCTGCATTTTAAAAATAATTTTTATTGAAGATTTAAAATAGAAAAATAAAATCGGATAGAAAATAGATAAAGAAGAGAGAAGAAAAAAAGAAGGGGCTAAAGCAAAACGCCAGTGTCAAAAAAGAAAAAGAAAAAAGAAGAAAAGAGAAGAAGAAAAAATGAAAAATTATTCCGTGCTTCTGATCTTCCTCTTGCTTGTTATATTCTTTTATTCTGAAGTCAATAAATTTAAAAAAAAGAAAAGTTCAGTTTCTACTTTCTCCATTCGTAGTTATATCTTTTCTTGTTTAAATGATTATAGTTTTCTTGTCCTTTTCCATATATGTTTTAAAAAACTGCCAATCTGTCTTTTGCTTTGGTATTTCTTGATGTTCCATCCATGTTCGTTATGCCCATTATTTTCATTTACCAATGTCCTTTTGTGAGAATATCTTCCAGTCGCCAGTTCTTTGAATAAACTATTCTGGCAGCCATGATTAAATAATTTCGAAGCAGTTCTTTATTTAGGTCCATTTTCAGATCCGTAATGCCTAATAGTAGATATTTGGGTTTCTTTTGTGTTTCAATATCCAATATTTTCTGAATTTCCTTGTATATTATATTCCAATAGTTTTTTGCCTTCTCACACAACCACCATATGTGGTAGAAGGTTCCCTCTACCTTCTTACATTTCTAGCATGTGTTCTGCAAATTTTTATACATTTTCTCCAATTTGTATGGAGTGATATACCATCTATGCATCATTTTTAGCAGATTTCCTTTCAGATCATAAGCATATATTTGTTTCAGTCGTATCTTCTGTAAGTACTCCCATTCCTCCATTCTGATAGATCATCCAATATTTTTGCCCAATTTATCATAGATTCCTTCACTGTTTCTTCCTCTATTGAGCATTCTAATCACTTTTTGTAAATTTTTGTTACTATTTTTTTCTCTGAGTTCATTATTTTGTCCCAGAACGCGTTTTCTTCCTCAAATACTAATATTTTGTCTTTGTTATAGTATTCCTTTATTTGTAAGTATTGAAACTATGAGGTATTCTTGTATTTCAATTTAATTTCTTCTTCAGTTCTCATTTCTATTGTATTGTTCTTCCTCCTTAGAATGTCTTTGTAAGTTGGCCAATCATTCCAGCCTAGTAATCTTCTTTCACCTGCTTCCAATGATGAAATCCAAAGGGGTGTTCTCACGTATAGTTTCCCCTTGTATCTATTACATATTTTTAGCAGTGATGCTCTTACAAAGTGATTCCCGAAATTCTTTTCTATCTTTGCATTTTCATACCATAAATATTTGTGCCAGCCTATCCTTAAATTGTGTCCCTCTAGGAGCCCCCGGTGGCTCAGTGGGTTAAAGCACTGAGCTGCTGAGCTTGTTGATCGAAAGGTCTCAGGTTCGATTCCGGGGAGCGGCGTGAGCTTCTGCTGTCAGCCCTAGCTTCTGCCAACCTAGCAGTTCAAAAACATGCAAATGTGAGTAGATCAATAGGTACCGCTCCGGCGGGAAGGTAACGGCGCTCCATGCAGTCATGCCGGCCGCATGACCTTGGAGGTGTCTAGGGACAATGCTGGCTCTTCGTCTTAGAAATGGAGATGAGCACCACACCCCAGAGTCAGACATGACTGGACTTAATGTCAGGGGACTACCTTTACCTTAAGGCTAGTACTTTTTCTCTATGTAGTTCCACCCAGACTTTTATCCATGCTAGCATCATGGTATAATCTTAAATCGAGTAGGCCAAATCCTCCTCTTTTTTTAATCGTCAGTTAGGTTTAGGGTTTTGATTCTTGGTTCTTATTTCTTCAAATAAATTTTAACAGGTCTTTGTTCCATTCTTTGAATATCTTTAGTGTCCTAATTATCGGTAAGTTCTGAAATAGGTACATCATTTTTGGTAGTATGTTCATTTTAGTCAAAGAAATCCTTCCTAATAGGGATACATTTAGATTTTTCCAATTTTCCAGGTCTTCTTTTGATTTCTTTCTATTTGTATTCATAATGGTTCTTTAATAATTGTGAGTTTTTGGTGGATAATATAATTCCTCTTTTCCTCTTTGGCTGATCAGGATGTAGTATTAACAATTCTTAATATATCAAAGAAGGGAGAGATAACAGGATTCATGGGAACAATGGGAACTTATTTTGTAGCATATGTAGCCAACAGGGTGCAACTGTAGTTGTGGCACTTAATTCAAGTGGTTATAATTTTGAACATATGGAACATATATAATTAAAGGAAAAAGTTTACTCTTTCAGTAAAAGGGAAGGGCTTAAAGCTTTGCCCACTCAAAATCCCAGTAAGAAAATGCCAATCAGGCTATACATGATCATACTGTAGTGGATATGGTCCTATGATCTCTGCAATTCATTTTGCAAAATACTGATGCAATGGCCATGAATCTCACTGCTGACATCTACATGTCCTGATCATGATCCCTACATGGGAATGACCAGGTTGTTTTAGAATGTGAAGTATATTGAATGGAAGAGATAAGACTGTCTGCATGAAGCTCAGCTGATTTTACACTCTTGTTTTTTTTAAAAATATATATCTTTCCTCAGATGTGAATGAGATGATGGAGCAACCATGGAGGGATGTTACCTGGAAAACTGGGTAAGTTCATTTGAGGCTATCAATCTGGAATTATTAAACTATTATAAGTAGATTTTAATAGTAATTGTGAAAAAATGCATGGCACCATTTAACATTAATTTTTAGCAGTGGGCCAAATAGGGCCAAAAGTCTTCCCCTCCTCCCAAAAAAGAAAGAAAAAAGAAAGATCCCAGGGTCTACATCCATTACATAAGATAGACTGCGAACATACCTTGGTCCATCACAATGTGGGTCTTCTATTTCTGAGGACCGACATGGAGGCTACAAGCCCTGTGATCAGCATAGGACAGACTTGAATCCTGATAACTTGCAGGGTGGTGACGATCTGGACCCCAACTACATTCTAAGTTCCTGTGTCCGAACTGGTAGGAGCATCCGTGGCTTCTGCCTCCCCGCTCATTGTAGCAGAGGAGAGAGACATGCTATTGAAAAGCTTTCTGTGGAAGCTTTGGCTAGCCTGGAAGGGGACCTCAATGCGAGGTACTATGCACTGAAAAACATGACAGATGCTGAGCAACAGCAACTCATTGATGATCGCTTTTTTGTTTGACAAGTCTGGTGGCCGGGGCATTTGGCATAATGACAACAAGACCTTCCTTGTCTGGGTCAATGAGGAAGACCACCTTAGACACATTTGGAACAAATTAATTGCTACAAATATCTAGGCATTATGTTCTCTTCATCTGGTGCTTGGGCTAATCACATTACCCATAGTATACAAAGAGCAATGAAAGCAGCAAGTTCCATTTATAAGCTGTACCATCATAGATACCCAGACACAATCAGACCTGCCCTGGAAGTGTTTAAGACAAAAATAATGGCAACACTTATATTTGGGGCTGAAATTTGGGGGCACATCAATTTGGCCAAGATCGAAGCCTTCCAAGTTAAGCAGCTTCGTACCCTCCTGGGCCTTTCAAGAACAACTCTGATGACAGCGGTAAGGGCAGAGCTAGGAATGTCCCCAGTAAAAGCTCAAATCTTAATGAGACAGTTTAATTACTGGTCAAAAGTAAACTGTATGGATCCCAGTAGACTTCCTCACCTATGTCTAGAGGATCAAGTCCAGGGTGACCAGAAGTCATCATGGGTGGCGGCTCTGAATAATGAGTTGGCTGGAATCGGCCTGCCTTTGCAATTTCTGGGTACTCTATGTCCGGGGGCAGGGCAAGTGCTCAAGCAGCGCACTCGGGATGTCTATGCACAGCTGGACCTAGAGAGCATAGGTAGGTCTTCTACCACAAGGTTTTCAGCTTCCCACAAAAGTAATATTCATTTAGAGCACTATTTCACTATTCCACTTCCACTACCCTTAAGAAGAATATATACTAGGGCTAGGTTTGAACAACTCAGTATTATGATGCAAACCAGGTGCTACTGTAACATCTTAAGAAGTGAGAGATTCTGCGTGTGGGGAGAACAAACAGTGGAAGACATTGAACATTTCTTAATTGACTGCCCAGCATACACTGAACTGCGAGACAGATATTTACATCCAATATTATCCAACTGCAGGTCCCCCAACAGAAATGATATTCTGACATCCCTCTTGCAAGGTCAGGAAAGATCCAACATAATCAGAGTAAGCCTTTTTATTCTGAAAGCTATCAAGAAAAGAGCAGATTTCCTGAAAAAAGAACCAGGAAAATAAGTCTTTTAGTGTAAATAGAAGGTCAGCTGCTGTCCTCACCTTTTTGCCTTGTTTTTTTTTTTACTCGTGTTCTATTTTGAAATGGTAATATGACTGGTCAAATAAATAAATTATTATTAAGACCACCTTAGAGCTATTTCCATGCAGAAAGGGGGGAATATGAAGGAAGTTTTCACCCACTTCTGTACAGGATTAACACAGATTGAAACACTCTTCAAATCCAAAAACTATGAATTCATGTGGAATCCCCACCTTGGCTACGTCTTGACCTGCCTATCCAACCTGGGCACAGGTCTCTGTGCAGCTGTCCATATTATGCTGCCCAACCTTGGCAAGCATGAGAAATTTGGTGAAATCCTCAAGAGGCTGAGGCTGCAGAAACGTGGCACAGGTGGTGTGGACACTGCTGCTGTGGGAGGAGTGTTTGATGTCTCCAATGCCGACTGTCTTGGATTCTCCGAGGTGGAGCTGGTACATATGGTGGTTGACGGGGTGAAACTGCAGATCGAAATGGAGAAATGCCTTGAGAAGGGGCAGTCAATTGACAACCTCATGCCTGCTTAGAAATGAAAAGCATTTTAACATCCTAGCACCCCCCCCCCCCATGCTTCTTCCTAACCTATTGGATGAATAATACAACAAATGAGGAAAAAACCCATGAGCTGCTCCAATCAAAGCGTGGAGTCAACAGAGAAATCCCCCCTTAGTAACACTAAGTCTCCCATCCATATGTGTTAAGAGTTTATTTTTTGATGGCTAAAATGTCACAGAGAAACTGAAATAAAGCCATTGTTGGGCCTGAATAAAAAAATGTGGGTCTTCTAGTGTTATGCAGCAGCTAAAAAGCCAATACAGTTGTGGGCTGCATCCAGAGGAATAGAGTATCCTGGTCAAGATAATTATTAGTGCCCTTCTGGTCAGGCATAACTTGACCAGTTATGCCTAACCAGATAACTATAATGTTCTAGTTACCAGAACATTGACTTGAAATGGTCCAGAGAAGAGCTGCGAAGGTGATGAAAGGTCTGAAAAATAAGCCTACTGGCGAATGACTTCCGGAGATGGATGTGTTTTTTTTGGAGAAGACAGAAATGAGATAATAAATAAGGGACACAGACAATAGAACTAGCTTCTTTTTCTTCTTCTTCATTCTGCTGGTTGCTGCAGCAATGGGAACAACAGGATAGGTAAGGGAGAAAGTGCAACCAGGCCAACTCAGTTTTGGCGTGGCTGGTGTCTGCCCTGCTGCAAGTTGAGGTGCAGCCTATGAAAGTTTCTAGAGGTTCCAGTTCCAGTCCAGAGCATTTTTACTCCAGACTGCCTCCGTTTTTTGGTTAGGGGTTGATGAGCTCTCAGCAATGTAGAGGTCAAGGTCCACCCAGCTCCAAATAAATTATCTGCTTTCCTTATATGCTTTCTGATAGATGTTAATACATACAAACATATATATAGGGAATTGATATATTAGAGGCACAGAAAATTGCATACTGGGTGCAAATGACTATTGCAAGAAAAAGGGAATGTATTTATGTAAAATGTCCAGCTCCACCCAGCTCCAAAGGAATTATCTATTTCCTTAAATGCTTTTTGATAAATGTTAATATATACAAGCACATATAAGGAGACTGATAGAGGGAAATGAGTACTGAGTGCAAATGAGTATTGCAAAAAAAGGGAATTTGGCTGGGGTGGTCCATACCTTGGTCACCTCCAGATTGGACTACTGTAATGCGCTCTACGTGGGGCTGCCCTTGAAAATGGCTCAGAAATTCCAACTTGTCAAACGGCTGGCAGCCAGGTTGTTAACTGGTGCTTCTTACACAGAGAGGTCAACCCTCCTGTTTAAGGAGCTCCGGCTGCCATTCATCTTCCGGTCCCAATTCAAGGTGCAGGTGCTCACCTACAAAGCCCTAAACGGTTTGGGACCTGCCTACTTGCGTGATCGCATCTCCATATATGAACCCACACGATCCCTTCGATCATCTAGAGAGGCCCTGCTCACGATCCCACCTGCGTCACAAGCGCGTTTGGTGGGGACGAGGGACAGGGCCTTATCTGTGGTGGCCCCCCAACTCTGGAACTCTCTCCCCAAGGACATTAGACAAGCCCCAATGCTGGCAGTCTTTAGGAAGAGCGTGAAGACTTGGCTGTTCCAGTGTGCCTTTCCAGAATAGGAAACTCCTAGCACCATGTCCCAAATGCACTTTGTTAGAGATTTAGGATTGTCTGCACATTGCACCTACCTCCAAAACTTCTACATTTCACCTGTCATGTCCAGCACTTTTAAATTTTGTTCATTACATTGGCCCGGCCTTTTAAATGCGTCACGGTGTCATTGTTTTTAGTGTTTTATTTTTGCTTGATGTTTATTGTTTGCTTTATGAGTTTTATTGCTGTATTGTTATGTTGTTGTTTTGTTGGCGGCCTTGGCCTTTGTAAGCCGCATCGAGTCCTTCGGGAGATGTTAGCAGGGTATAAATAAAGTTAATAATAATAATAAATAATGTAAAATGTCTAAGAACAGAGTTTGCAACCTACAAACTGCCAATGTTCAAGCTGAGTGCCTAAAGTTGCTGATTTTATTTCTCTTGGCGCTTTAGTACACTTGTGAGCATATTATCTCTTCTGTTAAATTAAGATTTTGAAAATCAAATTTGCTGAAATGTATGAACTTCTGGAAAGCAAAGATTAACTGTAGTCCAACTTTATCATAGTATTTTTTTACAGAGCTCTTCTTCCCACCATGATTTTTTGTAAACAGCATTTTTTCTTTGTCTCTTTCCACCACAAATAACTGTTTCAATCCATTGTAGCTAATAAATATGTATTTTGCTGTCTTAACAGGGAAAGAAAAAAACTGATGAGTGCGATAGCAGCTTATCATCCTCGTTTGAATTCAGTGCCACAGTTTCGGGTTCTGTTTGTGGGACCAGTTGGAGCAGGGAAATCCAGCTTTTTCAACTCTGTGAAGTCTGTTATCCGGGGCTATGTGACAGCTCAGGCCACAGCATCAGGGATGTGTGGTCCCAGTTGGACCAATCAGGTTTGCCTTGTGCTAAGTCTGAAATTAAGATACATTCATTCAGTCTGTAGTTTTTGTTATTCTATTTCTTGACGTTTCAGATAAGGTTTTCAATAGATCATCTTAAAAAAAAAAGACAACTGTAGTCCCTAATTTTAAATTGAGCAGTGGTCAAATTCATTCATGCTAAACAAACTTATTATGAAAAATCACAAAAGGTCTATTGGTCTTGTTCTCTTTCTGTTTAAATATCTCTGTGTTATCATCTTAGGAAGAGTAGTTTGTTACCCCTTTAATAAAATCATAACCATTTCACCAATTGTCAAATTCATTCACATTGAACAAACTGACCATGCTTCTTTCCACGAAGCAGAAACAAGTTTATGAACCTGCCATGGTTGTTTCCTGGATATGTTCACTCACTATGTTGTAATATTGCCCTGTGATGGTTGATCAAGATTTCCCATGGAAGCAGGAGGCCAGCAACAGAGCTATCCTGATTCCCTCAGAGCAAAGAGCATTTACATACCAGAATACAGATTTGAGGAATTTTTGAGGAGAAGTTCATACTGGTCCCTCCCCTACTTCTTGCTACACAGTACTCTTGATTCAGGGAGTAAACTGGGCATCAGATTATCATTGTCATTATTTTTATTACTTTGTTTATATATACCCCGCTTTATCTTCCTACAGGGAACTCAAAGTGGCTTGACATAAAAGCATTAGTATCCAATTTAAATATATACAAATATACAAACATTAAAACGGAATTAAACATAAACAGCACTAAAAAAAATCACAGTTTAAATCCATCTAAAACATATTCAAAGTTACAAAATCAGAGCACCTCCTGATGGCTCCAGTTACACACATGATAATAATATTGGGTTAGGCACGTCTTCAAAAGGGAGACACTGGTTGTAGCCTTTTTGATTTCCTAACACACCTTTCTTCATTGGACTGAGGCCAGTCACTCCTCACCTGGCCAGTCAGCTGCAGGGCTTTTGCAGGCTTGATAAAAAGGCACATTCAAATATCCTTCCACTTCACGGGTTTTGGCATCATTACTGTCACGCCTAGCTAGGATGAACAACTTGGAAACTTCAAGGACTGTTCCTTGGATCAAGAGTAGAGTTTGTTCTATGCTTATAGAAAAGGAAAAAAAGGGGGGAAAACCCAAAGCACATGCATGTGGATACCAGCCTATCTTGTATAGGAGGGACAAATGGCATATTTAAGAACAATTTTATAGCTCACCATATCTCTACCAGCTAGCATCATCATTACATGACACTTGAGACAAGGGGTTCCCAAACTTTTATAAGCTGAGGGCTGGTTCATTGTCCCTCAGACTGTTGACTTCTAATTGTATGTGGGTCCACAAGCACGTATGCTTGGCATGCAGGCATCAGGAGTGTATGCTTGCATCGGATGTACATGTGTCATGTGTTGGATGTGTCCCACACTGGCTGCTGCACACAAGCATTCGCTGTCACCAAACACCCACCAGTGCTGCACACACTCACTGAAATATTGTAGTTCAGTTTCTGTACACTTTGTTGAAAAATAAAATTCCTTTGCCTTGCCGCAGATAAACAGTCTTTCTTGGTCTTGACTTACACTTCAGCTTCCAGCTTCCAAATGCTGCATGTCAACTCCCAGCAACAAAAGCAGCCACCTGCTGCTTCCAGCTCCGATGAGTTACCAGCTCTAAAACAGAGCCAAGCTAAGCTAAGCAAATGCAAAGCTTGACACCACAAACTCAGTGCCTTGTTTTATAGACCCCACCTTCTTCCAACTTCTAGTATTGTTCTATTCTAGTCCTGAACTGGAATATTCTCTTCCTGGATATCAATATTTGTTATATGCTGCTTTCCTTTTCAAAAGGAAACAAAGTAGATAAGGATGTATTTCAATACTATTTATTTTTCTTTTTAAAAAACAGTACAAGACATATCAAATTAAAAATAATGAGGATGGAAAGACCCTACCCATCATCTTCTGTGACACAATGGGACTGGAAGCAAGGGAAGGAGCTGGACTACATATTGATGACGTGCCCAACATAATTAAAGGACATGTTCCTGATAAGTATCTGGTAGGGTCCACCAGCTATTTCTTACTTCTGATTTAAAAAAACTCACTAATATATCCCAAAGTTCTCTTTTAAATTAATAATGTATTGATTGGAGACATTGCAGTCTTCAAAACTCAAATTGCTCTATATAATTTTCACATCAGCTACATCCTGTGGTTCAGGGGATCTCAAACTTTTTCAGCTGCAGAGCCCTTTTTGAAACAAAAGTGGAGCCCCAAGAAATGGTTTTATATTAAATGAGCTATGATACTGTAATAAGCATTGTGTTTTAAAATTTGACAGAAGGGACGGGCCATGGATGGAGAGCATTTGTGTGAACTAATTGAAAAAAAAACCCAACAAATTCCATTGCACACTGCACGTATCTCATTTGTAGTGCAAAAGAAAGAAAGAAAGAAAAAGAAAGAACAACATAATATTTCAAATGAGGAACAATTTTAACCAACATAAACTTAATAGTATTTTAGTGGAAGATCCCAGGGTCATTCAGTCCAACCCCCTTCTGCCATTCAGGAAAAGCACTAACAAAGCACCCTCAACAGATGGCCTTCCAGCCAATGGCCATTCTGCCATTGTAAATAATAATAATAATAATAATAATAATAATAATAATAGCAAAATCTGGGGCAATCCAGTCCAATCCCCTTCTACCATTGCAGTAAAAGCACAATCAAAGCACTCATAAAGATGACCATCCAACCTTTGTAATAACAGTAAGAATAAGAACAGGAGCAACTCCAGGCGTCATCCTTCTCCCATACAGTAAAAGTATAATCAAAGCACCCTCAAAAGATGGCTATCCAGACTTTGTAATAATAATATTTATTTACTGTATTTATACTCTGCCTTCTCACCCCTTAGGGGACTCAATATAACAACAACAACAAAAACAACAACAATATGCATTTTCCTTCCTCCCACTCTCCCTCCCTTCTTCTCCCCTCCCTCCTTCCCTCCCTCCCTCCTTCCTTCCCTCCTTCCAGACCAGAGGGGGGAAGTTGTGAAGGAAAGAAGGTGAAGGAAGGAAGAAAGGCGAAGGACTGGCCCTGGACCCCTGAGATCTAACCTTTCAGCACCTGTAGCATCATGGTGCCACTGCCGATGCCTGGACCTGGCAGCTGGGATTGCCTGGCAAAGCCCAGCCTGGATCGCAAAGCCCTGCTCCTCCTAGTTCTCCTCCTGGGATTGGGCGAGCTCCCTTGCTTCCACAGGAAAGAAGGGAGGGAGAGAGGGAGACGTAGCATCATGATGCAGGGCCCTCCTGTTTGGTGCTTGTACTGGCAGAAACAGGGCATCCCCCCACCCCAATTTCCCCTCTGGGCCCCTGCTCAAGGAGCAATTGGACATCAAGGAGGAGCAGGAAAGGAAGGAAGCATCATGCTACCACCACCACCACCACTCCCCCTTGAAACAGGAGTAGGAGGAAGAAAGAAGAAGAGGAGGAAAGTGTGGAGCCCTTCAGTATGCCTCGCGAATCCCCAAGGGCTCCCTGGAGCACACTTTGAGAACCAATGCTGCAGTCTGTGATTGATTCTCTAGAAAAATGAAGTTGCAAGAAGGCTGTATGCCAAGCTATATAAAGTGGTTTTCAATAACATTGGAACTATGTGAAAACCTACTCACATAACAGATTCCTGTGTTGAGTAGCTGGCAGAAGATAGGATTTTGAACTCTTAAACTGCAATGCACTGTAACATTAATGTAGCATGATACCATCCTAACGGCCTTGACTCAATGCTATAAAGTCCTGATAGGTGTAGCTTGGTGTGCCACTAGCAAGCACTTTTGAACAGAGAAGGCTAAATACCTTGTGAAACTACAACTCCCATGATTCAATAGCATTGCACCATGCACTCTGAGTCTGCTACTGCTTGGAATGAGTTAGATATCTAGCTGTTGTTGCAGTCCTTACTCTTTTGGTCTACCAAATCTATATGTAGAAACATATATTAATTGGTTTTGGTATTTTGAATCATGGTGTGCTTCCTCCTTTGCCTCACATCCACTACCACCCTATCCCCCAACACGGTTTAAATGAACACTGAGTAATCATAATGCAATTGTCCAAAGATACAATGGTACCTTTAGCAGAATGCCTATAAACCTGACTGAGGAGGTCAGTAGGACCTGACTGTGAGGGGGGCTGAAGGAAATCACTTGTCATTATGCTATCCCATACTAGAATAGCCTGGTGGGAAAAATCTATTTCAGATTGAGCTTCCCCTACCTAAAAGGGGGCTCTTTTTAAGGCACTTTCCAGAGTGAAAGGGAATGGTTTCCTCATAGGAGGATCTTAAAATCTTGTGTTAAGTATAGGAAATAAAAAAGGGGAGTGCAGTGTATTAGCTCACATAACCTTTCTCTGCCTAATGAGAAAACATCAGGTATAATACATTTCTAACTGTGTCAAATATACTTGTTCCTTGATAATTGCTTATTGCTGAAACTACTTTGGCAATTTCTATTAGTAATCTGATTCTGTCCCATTTTCTCATATAGTTATTGCTTAACTTAATTGTTAACTTTCTTTTTTCAGTTTCGTCCAGCTGGGCCTATGCCGCCAACATCACCAGGCTATATCAAAAGTCCATCTTTAAAGGATGAAATTCATTGTTTTGTTTTTATCATCGAAGCACCTAAGATTGAGATCCTTCCTGATGAAATGTTGGAAAAGCTGAAAACCATTAGTCGAAAAATAAACATGTTTGGTCAGTTTGTTTTCACTAAACGTTGCTTTGGCATTCTGAAAATGGCATTAATCATTTATCTGAAGTTGACATTTCCCTTACAGACAAATAATTAAAAATTGTGTAGTACTGGTGGAGGATCTCTTCTCTAGAATTCCAAAATCCAAATTCTCCAAAATCGTCCACGGATTTTTGGGGGGGGGGGGGAGCTGTTAACTTAACCTATATTTAAATACATTTTATTCTGCTTGACACTGGAATGTTATTTCAATCAGTGTTGCACTTTTGAATAATATTTTATCTCAAAAGTCCAACATGCTAAAGCTAAATTTGTATCTGCTGTCCTTTGACTCTTTTCCTTAGGTCATAGCATAGTGTTTTAGTACATGTAAATGTTTCAAATATGGAAAATTTGTTTGAAAAATATTTAGAGTGGTTATTGTCATCATTATCAGCATCATAAGTGCAACGATTGCTATTATCTTTAGTGATGCCCTGTCATTTCCCCTACAATGGCATTCAAAGTAGTCTTTCCTTGCTGAGAGGAGAGTAAGGGAAGGCCTTCCTAAAAATTGAGTTATAGGACATAGGGGTAGCCACAAAAAGACCCTGTCTTCTGCTCCTGAGAGAGTGGTAGAACAAAAAGAAGGACCTTTCTTGAGTATCTCAGAACTCAGAAGGCTGATATAAATGATACATCCTGTCAGCCTGAACACAAGCTTTCTAACTCTTTACAGGCCATAATCAGCTCTTTGAACTGTTGTTAGAAACAGGTCAGCTGTGACTAGAGCTGTTGTAGCAGGGAGATGTATGATGCCTACATTTTAAAAAATTGTGAAATCCAGTGTTGCCATTGTTTTAGTAAATATATTTTCATAATACTTTTTCTTCCTCTAGATTTACCACAACTTGTCATACTTACCAAAGTAGATGAAGTTTGCCCTGCTCTTGAAAAAAACATTTCAAATGTATATAGGAGCAAAGTTGTTGAGAGAAAGGTAAAGCGCTCAGTCCTTATCAGTATTGACTCTGTGAATCAGCAATATTTTGAACAAGCAGTATTGCTCTTATGTTGCACTGAACTTGCTATTTTTGTCACTATATTTTAAGCGATATCCTGAAAAAGTTGCCATTTAAAATAAACATATGATCTGAGCACATTGAAAGGCCCCATTTGCTGGATTTTTTCAAAGGGCCAAAAGATTATATCTTTCTGTTTATACTATTTGATGTCTAGAAGTTCTTAGGAGAGAGTATTAAATAGCAGGGGGCTCTCACATCATTCCAGCCTGATATCCTTGGCAAAACTATTCGTTTCCTAATTATAAACTATATTTTAAAGGGGGGGGGGGTCATGCTCGGCTGCGCCTTTTCAAAATCCATATCACTGTTGGTAACAGCTGACCTCTAGTTAGAGTGCTTGTGGGGCAGGACTTCCCTGTTCTTCTATTTTTCATGTTTAATATACTGCAAGTCTTGTCTATGTACCAAATTTTGCAGTTTATGTATGGAAGTTATTGATCTTTCCAGAAAATTATAAGCCTGGTGTTGACATAGGACCCTTCCACATAGGGCCCTTCCAGAATATCAAGGCAGATAATCCACAATATCCACTTTAGAACTGGGCTATCTGAGGCCACACTGCTATATAATCTAGTTCAATGTGGATTTTATACCGCTTTATACCGCTTTATACAGGAAGTGGCTTCAGTAATGTTAGAACCCATCTCAGGCGGGAGCCCTGACAATTCGGCCGCGCGCTGCCCAAGCATTTGCTCGGTTCTTTGCAGACAAAGTCGCTTTGATCCGTTCTGGTCTGGACACCATGTTAAATGCAGTCTCTGAGGATGTGACACGAGCACCTGCTTGTCCTATTTTGATGGATTCTTTTCAATTTGTGAAGCCTGAGGATGTGGACAAGATACTTGGAGGAATGAGGCCTACTACGTCCATCCTAGACCCCTGCCCATCCTGGCTTCTAAAGGAGGCCAGAGGGGGATTGGCTGAGTGGGTAACGGTGGTGGTTAACGCCTCCCTTCGGGAAGGCAGAATTCCAGCGAGCTTAAAACAAGCTATTATAAAACCGCTGTTGAAAAAACCATCACTGGACCCCACTAAATTTGACAACTTTCGGCCTGTTTCCAATCTCCCCTTTTTGGGCAAAGTCATGGAAAGCGTGGTGGCCTCACAACTCCAGGTATTCTTGAGAGACACGGATTATCTGGATTCAGCACAGTCTGGTTTCAGACCGGGACATGGAACTGAGACGGTCTTGGTCGCCTTAGTGGATGATCTGCGCCGGGAGCTAGACAGGGGGAGTGTGTCCCTGTTGGTGCTCCTGGACCTCTCAGCGGCCTTCGATACCGTCGACCACGGTATCCTTCTGGGGCGTCTTGCGGAAATGGGCCTCGGGGGCACTGTTCTGCAGTGGCTCCGGTCATTTCTGGAGGGCCGCACCCAGAAGGTGTTATTGGGGGACACCTGTTCAACGCCACAGCCTTTGACTTGTGGGGTTCCACAGGGCTCTATACTGTCCCCCATGCTGTTTAATATCTACATGAAGCCGCTGGGTGAGATCATCCGGAGTTTCGGGGTGCGGTGTCATCTGTACGCAGATGATGTCCAACTCTGTCACTCCTTCCCACCTGCTACTAAGGAGGCTGTCGAGGTCCTGAACCGGTGCCTGGCCGCTGTAATGGTCTGGATGAGGGCGAACAAATTGAAATTAAATCCAGACAAGACAGAGGTACTCCTGGTCAGTCGCAAGGCCGAACAGGGTATAGGGTTACAGCCTGTGCTGGATGGGGTCGCACTCCCCTTGAAGGCGCAGCTTCGCAGCTTGGGTGTGACCCTGGATTCATCGTTGAGCCTGGATCCCCAGGTTTCAGCGGTGACCAGGGGAGCATTTGCACAGCTCAGGCTCGTGCGCCAGCTGCGCCCGTACCTCGGGAAGTCTGACTTGGCCACGGTAGTACACGCTCTGGTCACATCCCGCCTCGACTACTGCAACGCTCTCTACGTGGGGCTGCCCTTGAAGACGGCCCGGAAGCTCCAGCTAGTCCAGCGCGCGGCAGCCATGTTACTAACAGGAGCGGGACGCAGGGAGCACACAACGCCCTTGTTGTTCCAGCTCCACTGGCTGCCGATCTGCTACCGGGCCCAATTCAAGGTGCTGGTGTTGGCCTACAAAGCCCTAAACGGTTCCGGCCCAAAATACCTGTCTGACCGCATCTCGGCCTATGAGCCCACGAGGACTTTGAGATCGTCTGGGGAGGCCCTTCTCTCGATCCCGCCTGCCTCACAGGCACGCCTGGCGGGGACGAGGGATAGGGCCTTCTTGGTGGTGGCCCCCCGGCTGTGGAACACCCTCCCTGTAGACATCAGACAGGCGCCCTCCCTTATGACATTCCGCAAGAGACTAAAGACGTGGTTGTTTGAGAAGGCGTTTGACTAAGTGCTACAACAATTGGCAATGATGATTGGAACGGAATATGGATAACGAGATTGGATTGTGATTCTATGATGAGACGTCGCGAATGATTTAGTGTAATTGTATTATTGATAGTGATGTTGTTATTGTTGTTTGTGATATTGCCTTTATTGTAAATTGTTTTTTTTTATATGTTGTACACTGCCGTGAGTCGCCCTAGGGCTGAGAACGGTGGTCTACAAGTGCAGTAAATAAATAAATAAATAAATAAATAAATAAATAGAACTAACAACTATTAGAAGTGGTTGAGCAAGGAAATGAGATTTAACTTGTTAATTTTAATGTTTTTTTGTTTCCCGTGTAGATGCAAATAACAGCGGAAAGACTTGGCATCCCTTTGTGTAACATAGTTCCTGTTAAAAATTACTGTTCAGAGCTGGAACTCAAGGAGAATGTTGATATCCTGATCCTGCTGGCACTGAGGCAGATTCTGCGCTTAGCAGACAGCTATCTAGATAATTTCCTGTTGGCCGAAATAGCTACGGTTAATGAATATTCTGATTCCTGATTGGCTTAACACTGTCAATATCACACCACATTTTTACATAACTGTTTTTCCACTTTAATTGCTGTGTCGGCTTCCTATGGAATTCTGGGATTTGCAGTTTAATGAGGGGCATTTATGATCTCATCATATGTGCCACTGGAATCACCATGGATTGTGGTCCATCTGCCAGTGCCCAGCAGGGGATGTGGTGAATCTGTGCTCCATGACCCGCATTGCCAAGCTTCCCCTCTACCTCATCCCATGGGGAGAAGCACTTGCCACCCATCTTCCCCCTTTGATCCCAATGCAAAACAGGAATCCTCCCGTGCTGTCACAGCAGTGGCATATGCTGGTTTCTCTGCAAGTTTTGTGATAGAGCCCCGCCCCAAGTAGTTCTACGTCGTAATCAGAGCCAGTCGGCTCCGTCACAAAACTGCAGAGGAAGTGGCGTATGCCACCAAAAACAGTCCCATCTTATGAGGTCATTAGGGTCTTCAGGGTGAGAGTTCTTGGGCCTCACTAAACAATGACACCCAGAATTTGATGGGAATCAGCCATGTAGTGTAATATTGATTATATGATTGCATATTAAATACTGAATGTCATCCCTTCTTTCTCATTTCAGAATTTCATTTTTGGAAATGCTATATCAAAAAAACCTGATGGTTTTTAAATGCCATTTTAGGTCACTAAATCACTTGCATTGAGATTTGTTCATGCACCTTATGTGTCATGTTTTGGGCTTATTAACAATAAATGGACAATTTATTAATTATAGAGTTATTTTGTGCATTAGGAAGAAAGTCATATTCTCTGAGCCTCAGAGGAAGGGAAATTCTGCCAATAAATCACTGTGATAGTTTGCCTTAGGGTCACCATAAGTCACATGGTGACGTATCACAGGACTTCCTTGACAACATTCCTTCGGAGGAAGGAGATTTCCCATTGCTTTCCTTTAAGGCTTCATTTTCCCCATGAGTTTCCATAGACAAGTGGTAATTAAAAACCTAGTTCTCCAGAGCCCTGGTTAAGTACTCCAATGTGTAATCATTTATGCATTTCCCTGACAGGGAATGAGAAGCAATTCTTCTAAACCCGAGTCTGAACTTATTGTGACGAAGAAAACAGGTGAGTGTATGGAGGAATGTCTAGCAATTCTCCCCAAGCAATTCTCACCTCCCTTTACTTCCAACTAAAATTATTCATGTTAAGCAACTGTTTTTTTTTTTTTTTTGCAAATATGCATTTAGTGTTGCTGAAGCTACAGGGGATGTACATTTTCACTTGGGGTATTTATTCAGAGATTCCTCAGCTAACATTCTTGCAGATCAAGCCATATTTATGTTCCAATGAACAGTCAGAAAGGAAAAGAAATCATGCTAAAAATAAGGAAAGAAGTCCAGAAAAGGTATGTGCTATCAGAAATATAATCATTCACCACTTTTTTGCATTTTCAATGAGAAGACACCACATAGTAAACAGAGCTATCAGTCCATTAATAATTGTTAGGGGGGAAAAATAAGGAAGCAGAATTGTTCAGTTTGATAACCCAAAGCACTTGCTTGCAGTGTTTGTGTCCCCCTTTCAAGGACATATTGTTTACTATTACTAATAGATTATTCTTCTAAAAATAACAGATCAAAATGCTATTGGGATAATTTTGTAATTTTTGCAAAGCGCTGTTCTGCATTTTTGTTACATTGCTGATGTTGCACCAGGCGTGTGCACTGATTGCTACAGCAAATTTGTTTCCAGATTCAGCATTTCATAAAAAGGCCCACTTTTTATGAAATGAGTGGACTAATTGACACACACACCACAATACACTAGTCAACATACACAGTATGGTGCAAAATGTCTGTCATACATTCCACAAGACCAGACAATTACATGTTACACATAGAAGGTATAAAATTGAACATAGTGGAGATGGTGGACTGACTTTACAATAGTAATACATTCCTAGTAAATTCCTTCAGATTTCCAGTTCCACCTGTTGAAAACATAAAATGAAAATGTAAATAAATAAAGAAATATTACAATTATTACTTTTAATTTATTCCATTCATATGCTCCCTTTTTTCCAGCCCGGGACCCAAGGTGTCTCCTAAAGCTAAGAGCAAGAAAATATGAACATTTCCTGGGGTCCTTTTTTGGTCCTTTGATTTTGTATTCCTTGAGCAGTAAGGCTCTCAGAGAAATGAGAGAACAAGGCTGTGTTCTTTCTTCAGGGTTGTCTTTTGATTTTGGTTTTGTTTCCTCTCTGCTATCTTCAGGGCCACAGAGATTGTGGACTGAGTTGAGCACTCCTTAAAGGAAAACACAGGAATAGCCAGATACAGGAATTAATACTAGAGGGCTGGGGTGTGCGCGCCATTTCATTCATTGGCTTCATCCCCACTGACATTTTTATCAACACTGGTCAGTTCACTAGGAGTGGAAAAAAGCAAAAATAAAATTTGACTAGATCAGGGGTTCCCAAACTAAGGCCTGCAGGCCGAATGTGGGCCTCCGAGGTCATTTATCTGATCCTCGCCTTAAACTTTAGACTTAGGGTCGCCCTAAGTCTGAAACAACTTGAAGGCACACAACAACAACAACAACAATCTTAATTAACTTGACTATCTAATCAATCTAAAGTAGGCCCACTCTTCCCACTGAAATACTTGTAAGTGTATACTGGATAAAAATGTTCATTTTAATTGTTGTATTGTTTTTTCAATTTTTTTTGTACTGCAAATAAGATATGTGCAGTGTGCATACAAATTTGTTCATGTTTTTATCAAATTATAGTCTACCCCACCCCGAACTATCTGAGGGACAGTGAACCAGCCCTCTGCTCAAGAAGTTTGAGGAGCTCTGATCCAGATGCAGTTCTTAATATCTACCAGTAGATACCAGTACCGGTAGTACAGACAGTCCCCACGTAACGAACAAAATAGGTTCTGTAGGTTTGTTCATAAGTTGGATTTGTATATAAGTCAGAACAGGTGCACTCACTCACTCTCTCTCTCTCTCTCTCTCTCTCACACACACACACACACACACATATACATATATGCACACAGAGAGACACTTTGAAGTATAACTCATGCCAGAAATAAAAATATATTAGCTTTGGATAGTATAAGGAAACGTTACCACTTCGTTGTTTGTTTTGCTGTCTATGCCCCTGTTCAGAAAATCTCACCTCACTTTCTCTACCTGTAATCATTGAATTTTGAAAAAAAAAAAGGCTTTTTGTGGAAACAAGGTTTGTCTGCCAACCCCCGAAGTAAAGACTCACGAATAAAGACACAACAACCAAGTCAATGGGTTCAAATTGGGCAACTTTTATTTAACGTTACCTATTTAAGTGCTTAACCTAACTCAAAGGGGTGTTGGGAACTGGTATAACCAAACCCAGGTAGATTCACTACCAGATCTTAAAACAACAATTTTCGGGCGAAGCACCTGGGTTTCCTGGTAATATACCCGGACCACCAAGCAAGGGAAATGAGTGAGGAGTCTCTTCCAAAGATCTTGCACCCTGACTCCTCTCATTTCACGGCCATTTGACTTCACTTCACCTTTTAACTAAAATGTAGGTGAGTGTTTAACTTAATGGCCTATCACCCCTTAAGGGGGTGCCTTAGGTGCACACCGACTAAAGGATTTCCCTAACTATTTTACGCTAGCCTATTTAAAGATAGTCCACCATTCTATCTAGCCCCTAAACAGTACAGGGTAGGCAAAAAACCCTCCCCTTGAAATAAGAAGGGAAAAAATTCCTACCCGGTTCCATAGGCAACCTAAATTATACTGTTAATGGGCGGGAGTGGTGGGCAGCTTCCAGGCTCCGAATGAGCCTGGGTGGGGGCTGGCCTGTACTAACAGGCCACGCCCCCTAGTCCTCTGGAAGGTTCCATTGGAACCATCCCTGCCTCGTGGGAGGCAGACAAACCATTTTTTCTCTCCCCATTTCACGGGGAGAGGAAATTTATTGGCGAGAAAGCTTCAGTGGAGACACCTTTCCCCCCATAATAACCTTTTCAGGAGTAATTTTTCTTTGTAGGGGTAGATCTGTCCAATCTTTGCGAGGACATTGACTCAATGAGGCAGATTGACAATCTTGGTTCCCTCCATCTGAGGAGCCCCCGGTGGCGCAATGGGTTAAACCCTTGTGCCGACAGGACTGAAGACCCACAGGTCACAGGTTCAAATTCAGGGTGAGTGAGGATGAGCTCCTTCTGTCAGCTCCAGCTCCCCATGCTGGGACATGAGAGAAGCCTCCCACAAGGATGTTAAAAATATCGAAACATCTGGGCGTTCCCTGGGCAACGCCCTTGCAGATGTCCAATTCTCTGACACCAGAAGCGACTTGCAGTTTCTTAAATTGCTCCTGACACACACACACACACACACACACACACAAATCTGAGTTGCCAGGAATCATTGTACAAGGAGACAGTCCTTATTTTCCTCTTTACCAAAGGGGGCACTTTTCACCTGGAAGATCTTTGCAGTGTCCGGTGTTGCGCTTGGAGTGGAGCTCTTACAAGGAGTTATAGCACATTAAAATTGCAACCCAGAAGTCTTCAGAGGAATTTATTGGGGCTTGTTTCTGAGTACAGATAAATAGAATTGTATGGCCTTGGGAAACATTGGTCCTCCACATGTAGTTGGATTGGAGCTCCAGTCAAGCCTACCCATTGGATGTGTGGATTACCGCAACAGAGGGTAACCAACATCTGAAGAGCCCTGCAAACCATGCTTGTATAATATAGAACCTGCTGTTATCTCTCCTTTCTTTGATAGATTAAGAATAGCTAATATTAAATCCTGACCAGCCAAAGTGGGAAAGAAGAGGCCGCTACATTTATTGAGAAGCAAATGCTTAAGTGTTCCGTATAAGGGAAGCAAGCATTCATGGGAACACTGGGAACATACTTCGCAGCATCTGCACCCAACAAGATGCCACTGTAGTTGTGGCATTTAATTCAAGTAGTTATAGTTTTGAACACAAGTAACATATGTAACTAAAGGGGAAACTGCCCTTTCATACAAAAGGGAAAGATTTAAAGCTTTGCCTACTCAAAATCCTAATGAGAAAATGCTGATCAGGCTATACTAAAACATCATCATAAGTTAAAAGACCATTTAAAAGAGACAGTAGCAAAATGATAGTTATGAATTAGCAACAAACATAATTTTATGGTTGGAGGTCACCACAACATGAAGAACTGTATTTAGGGGTCGCGGCATTAGGAAGGTTGAGAACCACTGCTATATATGATCATACTGTAGTGGATATGGTCCTATGATCTCTGCTACTCACTGCTGCAATAGCCATGAATGTCAATGCTGACATGTTCTGAGCATAACACCTACATGGGAATGAACAAGTACTTTAAGAATATGAAGTATATTGAAATAAAGAGATATGGCTCTGCACAGAGCTTGGCTGACCTGACACTTTTGTTTTTTTTGTTTTTCATATGTTTCCTCAGATGCGAATGAGATGATGGAGCAACCATGGAGGGAAGTTACCTGGAATACTGAGTAGGTTGATTTGAGGCTATCAATCTGAAATTATCAAACGATTATAAACATTAATTTTCAAGAGTGTGAAGCTGTGCCATAGGGTCAAAAATCTCCCCTCCCCCGAGAAAGATCCCAGGGGCTAACATTCTTTACACAAAATAGACTTCTATCATACCTTGATCCATCCCTATATGGGTCTTCTAGTGTGATGCAGCAGCTGAAATCCAATACAATTGTGGGCTGCATCAAGAGGAATATAGTGTCCTGGTCAAGATAATTATTAGTATTGCTGTGGTCAGACTTGGAATACTATAACCAATTCTCGTTACCAGAGTCCATGTTTATCTTTTTGAACTTATCCAGAGAAGAGCCACCAAGGTCTTAAAAACAAGGCTTATGATAAATGACTTAAGGAGATGGATGTGTTTATTTTAGAGAAGACTAAGAAATGACATGCTATATAAGGAATATAGACAATGGAACTAGCTTGTTTTCTCCTGCTGCAGAAAACTAGAACATGAACCAGAGAATTTAAATTATGAGAAAATATGATTATGATTATGATTATTTTACTGACACAAAAGCACAGTATGTCACAGCAAATGAGATCTGTATGCTGGATTTCATATCACAGAATCACAAGTCGAACACTTCCCAAGTGTCTAGGACTGTGTGATGTATTTTCGAATGATGTGCGCAGATCCAAGTAAGGTGGCCTTTTGCAGTTGACAGATCGTGATTTTGTCAATGTTTATTGTTTCCAAATGCCGTCTGAGATCTTTTGGCACGGCACACAGTGCACCAATGTCCACTGGGACCACCTGTACTGGTTTATGCCAGAGTTTTTGCAGTTCGATTTTGAGGTCTTGTTTGATACATAACAAGATTAGTACACAATAAACAAGATCACTATGCTGGCTTTTGTATTGGATCACACGTCGGACACTTCCCAAGCGTCTAGGATTGTGTGATGTATTGGCGAATAATGCATGCAGATTCGAGTAGGGTGGCCTTTTGCAGCTGACAGATGGCAATTTTGTCAACATCAATTGTTTTTAAGTGAAGGCCATAATCTTTAGGCACTGCACCCAATGTGCCGATCACCACTGGAACCACCTTGATGGGCTTGTGCCAGAGTGTTTGCAGTTCTATCTTTAAATCTTCATATAGTGTAAACTTTTCCAGTTGCTTCTCGTCAATCCTTCTGTTGCCTGGGATTGCAACATTGACAATCCATACTTATTTTTTCCCCCGAGATCGTGAGGTCAAGAGTATTGTGCTCCAAAACTCTGTCAATCAATAATAATAATAATAATAATAATAATAATAATACTTATATTTATTATATCTTGCCTTTCTCCACATGGGGACTCAAGGTGGCAAACTAAACAGTTTAAAAAGAGCAATGCAAAAGTTAAAAACAATTAAATAATAACTGTGGTAAAATAGAATCAAAATACAGCAAATACATCAAATTGGCCTTTAAAACTCATATTCCTCCAATCCTTCCTACCCTCTCCAGAGCCTCCTCTTCCCCTTCCCCAAAAGCCTATTGGTAGAGGAAGGTCTTGACTTGCTTCTGGAAGGTCAGTACTGATGGGGCCATTTTGGTTTCTCTTGGGAGGGAGTTCCACAGCCTGGAAGTAGCCACTGAAAAGGTCCTCTCCCGTGTTCCCACCAAGCATGCTACAATGGGTAGTGGGACAGAGAAAAGGCTCTCCCCAGTAGATCGTAGATGTCTCCCAGTTTCATAGAAAGAGATGTGGTCCTTCAGATAACTTGGACCATACAGGGCTTTCTAAGTCAAAATCAGCACTTTGAATTGTGCTTGGAAATGTGTTGGCAGCCAGTGGAGCTGTTGCAACAGAGGAGTTGTATGCTTCCTTTAGTCAGTCCCAGTTAGCAGTCTGGCTGCTGCTTTTTGGACCAACTGAAGTTTCTGAGCACTTTTCAAAGGCAGCCATATGTATAGCATATTAGAATAGTCCAATTGGGATGTAATCAAGGCATGTACCACCATGATCAGCACTCCTGTTCACTGCTGATCCCTGGACCTCCAGGTGCAGAGCCTAATCTAGAAGTACTCCCAAACTGCTAATCTGTATTTTCAGGAGGAGTGTAACCTCATCTAACACACAGGCTGACTTCCTATTCCCAGATCTGTCTTATTTATTTGCTTTATTTCTATACCGCATTTTTCAGCCTAATTCGGCGACTCAATGCGGTTTTATGACTTATGACTGACTAGGAGCACTTGTGTTTTGTCTGGATTAAGCTTCAATTTGTTTGCCCTTATCCAGTCCATTACAGGTGCCAGGCACCAGATTACCACAGGAACTGCTTCCTTAGAATTAGGTGAAAAGGAGTGATAGAGTTGGGTGTCATTTGCGTATAGATGGCACTGCACTCCAAAACTCCGAATGACCTCTCCTAGTGGTTTCATGCATATGTTGAAGAGCATGGGGGACAGCACAGGCCAATGGCCAACAAGTCTCCTAGCACTGCCTTCTGAGAAGGTCCCTCTAGGAAGGAATCTAGCCACTAAAGAACAGTACCTCCAAGCCCCATCCCAGAAAGGCAACCATGGTTGATGGTATGGAAAAGCCCAGGAGAACCAACAGGGACACACTCCCTTGACTAGTTCTCTGTGTAGGTCATCCACCAATGTGACTAAGGGCTGTGTCATTCTGTCATTGCAGCAGCCAGCCAGAGTGCTGGAGAGCTCCCTTCCTCCTTTTCCCTGGTTGTGTGGTCACTTATACTGCTACTCAGTGTTGGCCAAGGAGCTCTTTTGAGCTTTCCTGTTTTTGGTGCAAGTTTTAAATATTTTTGTGTGTTTCTAATCTATGTACCATATGTACTCAAATATAAGCACATTTACATTGAAGAAGGTTAGAATAATGTTTTAATCAGAGTTGGACAGTCTTATCTTAAATTACAATTTTGTGTAAACATTTAACCTACTGATGTTTCAATTAATGTAATTTTATTTTTATTTTTATTGGTTTCTATTTTTATTTTGAAATTTACTGCTACATTTCCCACTTACAGCTTATACTTGAGGGAATTTGTCTTCCAAGTTTTTTGTGGTAAAATTAGGTGTCTCGGCTTGTATTCCAATTGGCTTATACTCAAGTATATATGGTAATTTATTGCACTTGTATTATGTTCAAATGTTTTTGAATTTGTTGTACCCCTCCTTGAGCCACCAGGAGAGATGGGAGCAACGGATAGGTAAGGGAGACAGTCCAGCCAGGTCAACTAAGTTTTGGCCTGGCTGGAGTCTGCTCCTGCTGCAAGTTGAGGTGGGTCAGTTGAACATTTCAGGGGTTTCCAGTTCCAGTTCCAGAGCATTTGTATTCCAGACTGCCTCCAATTTTTGGGTAGGTGTAGATGAGCCCTCAGCAATGCACAAGTCAAGGTCCACCCAGCTCCAAAGGAATTCTCTGCTTTCCTTAAATACTTTTTGATAAATGTGAATATATACAACCACATATAAGGAGACCAATAGAGGGAAATGCGTACTAAGTGCAAATGAGTATTGCAAAAAAAAAAAAAAGGAAAGAAAAAAAAGGAATGTTTCTAAGTAAAACTAGCTGTCCCCTGCCAGTCGTTGATGTGGCCCAGTCTGGTGATCTTGAAAATAGAGTAATGAGAAAGAGCTGGTTTCTAATATATGCAATTTTATTTATTTACAGCATTTATATACCGCTTTTCTCACCCCTAGGGGGACTCAAAGCGGTTTCAAGAAGCAATGTCTTGATTCTTGTGGATAAACAGCATTTCTTGCTGTTTCTTTGTCATTGTTGATGTAGAGATTGTCTGGTTTGCCTACTCTGGAACATGCAACATATAATTGTCTTTCTTTAGGGGTCCCTTTTAAATCTATGATACTATCTCTCTCTCTCTGTGTGAATCATATATAATTATGAGCCCCCGGTGGCACAGTGGGTTAAACCCCTGTGCCGGAAGGACTGAAGACGGATAGGTCGCAGGTTCGAATCCGAGGAGAGGCAGATGAGCTCCCTCTATCAGCTCCAACTCCTCATGCGGGGACATGAGAGAAGCCTCCCACAGGAATGATAAAAACATCAAATCATCCAGGCCTCCCCTGGGCAATGTCCTTGCAGACGGCCAATTCTCTGTCACACCAGAAGTGACTTGCAGTTTCTAAAGTCGCTCCTGACACAATGATATCTATCCATCATCTATCTATCTATCTATGGCTGGATGGCTCTTTGTCAGGAGGGCTTTGTTTATGTTTTCTTGTCCTGGTAAAGGGAGTTGGACTGGATGGCCTTAAGTATTTTCTGTTGGTCATGGGGGTTCTGTGTGGGAAGTGTGCCCCAATTCTATTGTTGGCGGGGTTCAGAATGCTCTTTGATTGTAGGTGAACTATAAATCCCAGTAACTACAACTCCCAAATGTCAAGGTCTATTTCCCCCAAACTCCAACCAGTGTTCATATTTGGGCATATGTAATATTCGTGACATGTTTGGTCCAGATCCATCATTATTTGAGTCCACAGTGCTCTCTGGATGTAGGTGAACTACAACTCCCAAACTCAAGGTCAATGCCCACTAAACCCTTCTAGTGTTTCTGTTGGTCAAGGGAGCCCCGTGTGCCATGTTTGGTTCAATTCCATTATTGGTGGATTTCAGAATGCTCTTTGATTGTAGGTGAACTATAAATCCCAGCAACTACAACTCGCAAATGACAAAATCAATTTTTTTGAGTGATGGTCACTCCTTGGGTTAGTAAATGTCTTGTGGCCAAATTTGGCGGCAATTCATCCAGTTGTTTTTGAGTTCTGTTAATCCCACAAACTAACATTACATTTTTATTTATATAGATGTCTAAGAAATGTGTTTGCAACCTACAAAGTGTCAATGTTCAAGCTAAGTGCCTAAAGTTGCTGATTTTGTTTCTCTTGGTGCTTTAGTACACTTGTGAGCATATTATCTCTTCTGTTAAATTAAGATTTTGAAAATCAGTTTTCTGAAATGTATGAACTTCTGGGAAGCAAAGGTTAACTGCAGTCCAACTTTATCATAGTTTGTTTTTACAGATCTCTTCTTCCCAACATGATGTCATGTTATTTCTCCTGTGTGTAAACAGCACATTTTTCTTTGTCTCTTTCCCCCACAAATAACTGTTTCAACTACATAAACCAATATAGCTAATACATATATGTTTTGTTATTTTTACAGGGAAAGAAAAAAACTGATGCATGAGATAGTAGATTACTATCCTCGTTTGAATTCAGTGCCACAGTTTCGGGTTCTGTTTGTGGGACCAGTTGGAGCAGGGAAATCTAGCTTTTTCAACTCTGTGAAGTCTGTTTTCTGGGGCCATGTGACAGCTCAGGCCATAGCAGGAGCAATTTCTGGAACCAGTGTGACCATGCAGGTTTGCCTTCTACTGAGTCTAAAATTAAGATGTATCGATTCTTCAGTTTTTACTACTCTATTTCTTGATGTTTCAAATAATGTTTTCAATAGATTATGGTAAACAGAAAAAAACAGCTTGTAGCCCCTAATTTCAATTTGAACAGTTGTCAAATCCATTCATACTAAACAAACTTACTATGAAAAATCTCAAAAAGTTATATTGGTCTTGTGCTCTTTGTGTTTAAATATCTCTGTGTTATCATCTTAGGAAGAGTAGTTTGTCTTCTCTTTTATGAAATCATAACTATTGGATCATTGGTTAAGTACATTCATGCTGAACAAACAGATCATGCAAAAATATTTCTCTCTCAAGCAGAAACAAGTTTCTTAACATATCATGTTTGTTTCCTGAATATGTTCACTCAGTATGCTGTGGTATAGCCCTGTGATGGTAGATCAAGATTTCCCATGAAAGCAGGAGGCCAGCAACAGAGCTATCCTGATTCCTTCAGAGCAAAGAGCATTTACGTTCCAGAATACAGATTTGAGGAATTTTCAAGAAGTCCATGCTGGTCCCTCCCATATCTCTTGCTTCACAGTACTCTTGATTCAGGGAGTGAACCGGGCATCAGATGGCTCAGTTTACATGCAAGATAATAATATTGCATTAGGCACATCTCCAAAAGGTGTGATTTTCCCACACCAACTTTGTCCATTGGTCTGACAGCAGTCACTCCTCACCTGGCCAGTCAGATGAATGGCTTTTGCAGGCCTGATAAAAAGGCACATGCAAATATCTTTTCACTTCCCAGGTTGTGGCACCTTTACTGTCACTCCAGGCTAGGATGAACAGCTTCAGAAGCTTCAAGGACTATTCCTTGGATCAGGAGTAGAGTTTCTTTTAAAGCAAAAAGAAAAGCAAAAAACAAACAAACAACAACAAAAAACAAAAAACAAAAAAGCACATGCATGTGGGTACCAGCCTATCTTGTATAAGAGGGGCAAATGGCATATTTAAGAACAACAATTTTATAATTCATCGTATCTCTACCATTTAGCATCATCGAGCTGAGGGCTACCCAAACTTTTATAAGTCAAGGGCTGGTTCACTGTCTCTCAGACTGTTGACTTCTAAGTATGTGTTGGTCCGCAAGCATGTATGCACACAATGCACATATCAAACATCGGATGTGCATGCATCACGTCCCATACCAGCCGCTGTACACACACATTTGCCGTCACCACACACCCACCAGTACTGCACACACTCACTTGTCCTCCCCACATACCCACTGCTGCCACACACATGCACTCCCCACTGCTATGACACATCCTCCATTTTCTCTCTCTCTCTCTCTCTCTCACTCACTCACTTTTGCTGTATGCATACACATACGCTGATCATAAGTGAATGCTCGTGTGGTGGTAGCAGAGCGGGTTGGGAAAAAATCTTTGGTGGACCAGATTCCGCCTGTGGGTCTTAATCTCAGGACCCCTCTTTTTGAAATGTACATTGGTCTCTTTCCGACTTGTCCAATCAGGAGGGCACAGTTTTGCTTGATCACACCATTTCTTGTTCTGGAAATATGGGGCATGGGGGCACTTCTGGCAAAAAGCTGCTATTAATCATCCACTGACCACTATTTGGGCCATGCAATCATAAAGCAAAGAGAAAGATGGCAGAAGCCTGGGTGTTCTTTGCATAATGCAGCAATTTCTGCACATACGTGTTTTTTTTTAACCAAGAAGGCAGTTTCCTGATTCCCACTTGCTGTAAAACTCAGGATATCATTCTGTGACCCCACTATACTTAGCAGATTTATTCTTCCTGCAGTGCTCTACATTCTACACAGATTTTTCATGGAAACAAGCACTTTCAGACCCCCCCCCCCCGGTGTATTTCTATGTGCCAGGAGAACTGAAGGACCACCTTTGAGGAAGGCCCGGATCTAATAGGGTATCTAATTAATTTGGGAAACCCAGTTTTGATTGGGACACCTCTGGTAAAACTGAGACATGTCTTGGTTTAAAGACCTGTCTGGATGGGCCTTAGGATACTTTTCTGGAACCCTGCCCAAGTGGATCCCAAGTCTCTTTGGATACAACCCTAGACCTGGCAGTTTATTTCTCCACAGTCACTGGGCTAAAAAGGAAGAAAGCTCACACCTTCTTCTAACTTCCACTATTGTTCTCTTTTAGTCCAGAACTGGAATATTCTCTTCCTGGATATTAGTATTTGTTATATGCTGCAGTGCTTACATATTTAAAAGAAAACAAAGTAGATAAAGATGTGTTTCAATACTATTTGTTTTTCTTTATGAAAAAACAGTACAATTCTTACAAAGTTAAAAATAAAGAGGATGGAAAGGCCCTACCCATCATCTTCTGTGACACAATGGGACTCGAAGAAAGGGAAGGAGCTGGACTACATATTGATGATGTGTCCAACATAATAAAAGGACATATTCCACACAAGTATCAGGTAGGATACATTATCTATTCCTCACTCTGATAAAAAAACACTCATTGTTTTAAATTAATAATTTGTTAACTGTAAACATTGCAGTTTTCAAAACTCAAATTCCTCTATATCAGCCGCATCCTGTAGTCTATGATGGATTATCCTGACTGATGGCATGATAGCTTCAGAAAAATGCAATTGCAAGAAGGCTAATCTGCGTGCCAAGCTATATAAGATCTATGCTATGTGACCTTAGATTTTTAAGTGGTTTTCAATAATATGATTATTGGAACTCTGTGAAAACCTGCTCAGAGAATTTATTGCTATCATGAGTAGCATCCAGAAGATTGCACTGTGAAGTCTTAAACTGCAATACATTGTAGAATTAATGTAGCATGATACCACTTTAACCGCTTTGGCTCAATACTATGAAATCCTGGAAGTTGTAGTTTGCTGAACCACCAGTGGAGAAGGATAAATATCTTGTGAAACCACAACACCAATGATCCAATAGCATTGAACCATAACAGTTAAAGTGATGTAAAGCAGCATTTATTCTATAGTAAAGCTGCAGTCTGATGAGTCTGCTACTACTTGGAATGAATTTGATGTCTAGCTATGCTTGCAGTCCTTACTCTTTTGGTCTACCAAATCTATATGTAGAAATTTCCCAAATTAATTGGCTTTGATATTTTGAATCATTGTGTGCTTTCTCCTTTGTCTCACATCCACTGTCGTCCCCCTCCCTCAAGCATTGTTTAAATGAACAGTGAGTAATCGTAACGCAATTGGCCAAAAATACAATGGTGCCTTTAGCAGAATGCCTGTAATCCCAATCGAGGAGGTCAGTAGGGCTCTACTCTGAGGCGATTGAAGGAAATCACTTGTTATCATGCTAGACTGGCCTGTGGGGAAAAAATTATTTCTGATTGAGTCTTGACAGCAGAATGTGTGAAAAAGACCATGGAGTCCTCATGGACAACAAGTTAAACATGAGGCAACTATGTGACGAAGCAGCTAAAATATGAGATGTCATTTATATGCAGGTGATGTTCAGCTCTATCACTACTTCCCACCTGCTACTAAGGAGGCTGTTCAAGTCCTGTACCGGTACTTAGCAGCTGTGATAGTCTGGCTGAGGGTGAACAAATTGAAATTGAATCCAGACAAGACAGAGGTTCTCCTGGTCAGTTGCAAGGCCGAAGAGGGTATAGGGTTATAGCCTGTGCTGGATGGGGTCACCCCCCCCCCCCGAAGACACAGGTTTGTAGCTTGGGAGTGATCCTAGACTCATCATTGAGCCTGGAACCCCAGGTCTTGGTGGTGGCTAGGGGAGCTTTTGCACAATTAAAACTTGTATGCCAGTTGCACCCATACCCTGGGAAGTCAGACTTGGCCATAGTGGTCCATGCTCTCGTTACATCCCCGAACAGATTACTGCAACACAGTCTACATGGGATTGCCTCTGAAGACTGTTTGGAAGCTCCAACTAGTCCAACGGACAGCAGCCAGGTTGCTCACCGGAGCGGCATAAAGAGAGTATACAACTCCTTTGCTATGCCGGCACAATTCAAAGTGCTGGCTTTAGCCTATAAAGCCCTGAATGGTTCTGGCCCAGCTAACCTGTCTGAAGGTATCTCCTTCTATGAACCATCGTGAAGTTGAAGATCAATGGGAGAGGCCCTGCTCTCAGTCCCACCATCCTCGCAAATGCGTGGAACTCTCTACCCAGTGACATTAGATTATCTTTTAGAATGAAACTCAAAACCTGGCTATGGGACCAAGCATTTGAACAGTAGAGACAGCAATTTAGAATGAGACCCAATTAGTGTGAATTACAATGGACTGACCTGGACTATGATTTCAAAGCTGCGTGATTTAAACAAATTTTTAGTAATTTTAAAGCATTAACTAATCGTTTTAATATTTTTTATTATTTATTACTGTTGTTGGCATTGAATGAATGTCTGTTGAAGCCACCCTGAGTCCCACTCCGGGAGTGAGAAGGACAGGATAGAAATATGTGAAATAAATAAATAAATAGCCAGTGAGATTTTGGCCTGCATCAATAGGAATATAGCGTCTAGATCCAGGGAAGTCATGCTACCCTCTATTCTGCCTTGGTTACACCACACCTGTAATACTGTGTCCAATTCTGGGCATTGCATTTTAGGGAGACGTTGACAAGCTGGAATTTGTCCAGAGGTGGGTGACTAAAATGATCAAGGGTCTGGAGAACAAGCCCTATGAGGAGTGGCTTAAAGAGCTGGGCACGTTTAGCCTGCAGAAATGAAGGCTGGGAGGAGACATGATGGCCATGTATAAATATGTGAGGGGAAGTCATAGGGAGGAGGGAGAAAGCTTGTTTTCTGCTACCCTGGAGACTAGGATGCAGAACAATGGCTTCAAACTACAGGAAAGGAGATTCAACCTGAATATTATGAAGAACTTTCTAATGGTGAGAGCTGTTCAGCAGTGGAACTCTCTGCCCCAGAGTGTGGTGGAGGCTTTTTTTGAAGGCTTATAAACAGAGTGGCCATCTGTCAGGGGTGGTCTGAATGTGATTTTCCTGCTTCTTGGCAAGGGGTTGGACTGGATGGCCCACGGGGTCTCTTCCAACTTTGTGATTCTATGATTCCCTCCTACCTAAAAAGAGACCCATTTTATGCAGCTTTGCATGAAAGCCACTTAAAGTCTAGTTTTAAGTATAGGAAATCAAGAAAAGGGAGTGCAGTGTATTGGATCATATAACCTTTCTCTTTCTAATGAGAAAATGTCAGATATAATATATTTCTAACTGTGTTGAATATACTTGTTCCTTGATAAATGTTTATGGTTGGAACTTCTTTAGCACTTTATATTAAGAATCCGATTCTGTCCTATTTTCTCATATTGTGATTATGATTACCTTTGTCTTTTCAGTTTAATCAAGCTGGGCCTATGCAGCCAACATCACCAGGCTATATCAAACATCCATCTTTGAAGGATGAGATTCATTGCTTTGTCTTTATCATTGAGGCACCCAAGATTGAGATCCTTCCTGACAAATTATTGGAAAAGCTGAAAACCATTAAACAAAGAACTAACATGTTTGGTCAGTTTGTTTTGCACTTTCCTCTCAAGTTATGTATGTATGTATGTAAGTATGTATGTATGTATGTATGTATTGTGTCAGGAGCAGACCAAACAGTTGTACTGCATTTTTTAACAAACAAACAAACAAACAAACAAACAAACCACAAAGTTTGCAAGCTTGGTAGTTGATTAAATGTCCTTTGACCAGTAGCTGGCCACTTGGAGTGCCTCTGGTGTTACGATAAGAAGGTGCATTGTGCATGTGGCAGGGCTCAGGTTGCATTGCAGCAGGTGGTCTGTAGTTTGCTCTTCTCCACACTCGCATGTCGTGGATTCCACTTTGTAGCCCCATTTCTTCAGGTTGGCTTTGCATCTCCTGGTGCCAGAGTGCAGTCCTCTCAAGTAGTCTGAAACCAATATATAATAAGGTGATGCTGTCATTTAGCACAGAATACGATTCTGTGATCCTATAGATGTTACTACATTTTAGTTCTCTTAATGGTGATCAATATAACAACCTTGCAGTTCAATAACCTTTGGAAAGCCACAAGATTCAAGTTGATGCCTTCCCAATGATATGAGAACACCACCTGTTCGTTGTAAGATATAATTTATTTGAATGTAGCTTCGCATTCTGAAAATGGAATTAATCATTTATCTGAAGTTCACATTCTCCATACAAATGATTAAAATTGTGTAGTACAGATGGAGCATCTGTTATCTAGAATTCCAAAAAACAAATTCTCCAAAATCATCCATGGAGAATGGATGGTGGGGGGCTGTTAATATAGTGATACTTTTGCTTTCTGAGAAATGTCCTTCATGCACAAAATTGTTGGAATTATTGTATTAAATTATCTTCAGGTCAAGCGTTTATAGCATATACAAGATGCAAATGAATTTCATGTTTAGATTTGGATCCCTTCTCCAAGGTATCTCATTATTTACATATTTACAAATGTGGATATTCCAAAATCCTAAAAACAATCCAGAATCCCAGAATCTCAAGCAATCCATATAGTGGAATGCACTTTATTCTTCTTGACACTGTAATGCTATTTGAAGCATTCCTGAATAGTGTTTCCCCCCCCCCCCCTCAAAAGTACAACATGCTATAGCTAAGTTTGTATCTACCATCCTTTGACTCTTGTCATCATTGTCAATCTCATAACCGGTGTGATTGCTATTATCTTTCATAATGCACTGTCCATTTACTCTAAAATGGCATTCAAGACAGTCTTCACCTGCTGACAGAAGAAGAGTAAGGGGAGGGACATTCTTGCCTTTCTAGGAAGTGAGTTATAGGACATAGGGGTAGTCACAAAGAAGGCCCTGTCTTCTGCTCCTGTGATAATGGTAAGACTGAAAGAAGAACCTTTCTTGAGTATCTCAGGGCTCAAAAAGCTGATATAAAATACTATGTCCTGTCTACCTGAACAAGAGCTGTCTAACTCTTTGCAGGTCATAACCAATAAGTGAAATCTCATGTTGCATTGTTTTAATAAAGGGTTTTTTTTATATTATATTTTTTCCTCTAGATTTACCACAACTTGTCATACTTACCAAAGTGGATGAAATTTGCCCTTCTCTTGGAAAAAACATTTCAAATGTATACAGGAGCAAGGTTGTTGAGAGAAAGGTAAACCACTCAGTCCTTATCAGTATTGACTCTATGAAAAGGCAATATTTTGAACAAGCAATATTGCTTTTCTGTTGCACTGATCATGCAATGGGGAAATTGTGTCTTCAAAACTCTTTAGTTTCATTTGTCAGTCTGGTTTTTCCTTACTGTTTTAATGGCTAAAGGAGTGGGTGGGGGGAGTGGGGGAAGATCTCCATGCCCAACTGTGCCAATTTTGAGAGTAGGTAATCTGTGTGGTTAAGGAATGTGAAGAAACCAGCATCTTAAATGACATTTGGGCCCATGTAGAAGGGCCCTGAATGTTGGATTAAGAAATTAGGAAATTCACTAGTTGATCTTGGGCATGTCAAACTTTTTAAGACTCAGGCCTGATCCAGACAGGCCTTTATTCCAGAAGTATCCACATTTAAAAATGCAGATGTTTCTGGAGGCCTGTCCACACCCTCCCCAGAAAGTGCACGCTTTCTGGGGTGAGTGTCCAGATGTTCCCTTGAGACTAGCCTGACAGAATATGTGGAGGCCCTCCCCCCAAGCCCCCAGACCCCTTAGAAAAGCAATAAAAACTTACCTGTCTTCCATTAGAAGCCTCGGCCAGCTCTCCCGGCATGTAGAAATTAAACGCTAGGAGAGTGGGGGGAATAATTTTCCTCCCCCTGTTCTCCTGGCACATCATTTTTATGCAGGGAGGGTGGGTATTCCCACAGTTTACAGGGTTTATTTAGCCTGGTAAACTGTAGGAATGGTGTCTGGACTGTAGTCCAGACACCAAAAAATGGTGGATTTATCCCCCGCCTTCCAAGAAGGCATGGAATAAATCCACTATCATATTAATTCACTACAAACCAGGGTTTCCCTGGTTTGTAGAGAATTAATTTGGGACTGTCCAGAACGTTGTCTGGACAGCCTCTCCTTTATTGTGGGAGTTCCTGCAATAAAGGTCTTGTCTGGGTGTGCCCTCAGAGGAGGACAATGGCAACTCCCCTCTAAATAAATTGCCCCCCCCCCAAAAAAAAGAGACAGGACAGATACTTTCTGGCTACATTAAGTCAGATACAATTCGAGAGGAATATAAGAACAACAACTGGTAAGAACAGTCTGGTGGTAATTCATTGAAAATAAACTTATTACACCTAATTTGGTAAAACAATGCTAGAATTGATTTGAGATGTTATTATTTGAATGGCTAACCACAAACATTGTTAATTATTTATCAGCAATGAATGTTTCACATTCATTTAATTCAGTTTATTACTTGGGAGAATGTTCAGCAAAAGGAAGTCATTGAGAACTTTAAAGACATTGGAAGTGTTATTTATATTCAAATAGAAAGTTAGGGAAATAGAAAGATAGGGAAATACTAGGCATTAGAAGAGAAAACCAGGCTGACACTAATGTCATTCCATTTATAAACTAACCAAGCAAGCACCCAACAGGAACAAAATAAATAAAAGGTCTTCCAAGGAAAGATAAGCTTACAAGAAATTGTCAAATGAAAATATATGCATGTTTCTCCCTTTCACTCTCTATTCATGCCTTTTGAAAGTCCATAGCACTGTTGGTAACACCTGACCAGTTAGAGCGCTCAAGGGCTGGGGCTTCCCAGTTTTTCTGTTTTACATGTTTAACATACTAGAAGTCCTGCCTATGGGGCAAATAATTGGGTGGGCAAGAAAATGGGATTTTACTTTATAATAATGTTTTTTTGTTTCCCATGTAGATGCAGTTAACAGCGGAAAGACTTGGCATCCCTTTGTGTAACATAGTTCCTGTAAAAAATTACTGTTCAGAGCTGGAACTCAAAGATAATATAGATATCTTGATCCTGCTGGCACTGAGGCAGATTCTGCGCTTAGGAGAAAGTTACCTAGATAATTTCCCATCAGACGAAATAGCTACAATGGATTAATGTCCTGATTCCTGATCAGCTCAGCATTGTCAATATCACACCACATTTTTATATCACTGTTGTTCTACTTTAATTGCGGTGTCTGCTTCCTATGGAATTCTGGGATTTGCAGTTTAATGAGGGGCATTTAGAGTCCTCAGGCTGAATTCTTGGGACTCAATAAATGATGAAACCCAGAATTCCACTGAAGCCAGCCATGTAGTGTGATATTGATTATATGGTTACATATTAAAGATCAAATGCCATCCTTCCTTTCTCATTTCTGAATTTCTTTTTTTGGAATTACACTTTAAAAATGGATTGTCTTTACATGCCATTTTTCTGTCACTGATTCATTTGCACTGAGATTTGTTTATGTTGTATATGTATCATGTTGTGGGCTTATTGACATTATACCAGTAATTGCCAATTTATTAATGAGTTATTCTGTGTACTATTAAGTTCTAAAAATGTCTACAATTTCCTTCTGCACACATTGAAATGAAAATGCATGCTAGGAATTGTTGAAGACAGTAGGAAGAGCACTTTACTTTGATAAATTCAGGCAAGGAAGTCCCTGGCCCTGAATTTCAAGCCTTTTAGCATCAAAATCTTTTGGAGTCTGTCATTTGTAGGATTACCATAAATGACAGCATATTTGACAGCACACAACATTGCCTAATCCTCTCCTGTGCAATCAAATTCCATTACAATGTTCTTACAATTAGTAGTTAATACTTGCAAAAATGGGGGGAAGCCAGGTGGAGGACACTGCCCCCCATGGGATGGGGCCAAGGGTAAGTTGGGCAATGCGGGGTGAGGGGTGATGGCTCCCCCATGCCCCCTGCCGGGTCCCTACAATGTGTGGCAAAGCCATAGTTTAATGTGATATGGTCCTTTAGCTGAGTTATGATCCTAAATGGGTTCATGTTAACTGAATGTTTGGGTCACAAAATACTTGGCAACAGTAAAAGGTTTCTGAGTGACACCTAGAAGCTGTTTTAGATATTAAAATGACTAAATGTTTCAGCTGCACATCATAGAAAGGGGTAAATCAACAGGGGCAAACCAAGAATGGGCAACTTGGAAGTCCCTAAACAGAAGCGGAGTTGACAGATCAAAAGACAACCTGGCAAAATTGTAAGCCATTCCTGAGTCCCCCTTCGGGGGTTGAGAAGGACACAATGCTCTAAATAAAATAAATAAATAAATAAATAAATAAATAAAATGGCACTACCTAGAAGAATCTTCTACCTTGTGTGACTGTGGAGCAGAACAAACAACTCAGCATCTGTATGCTTGCCCACAATGCCATGTCTCATGCACAGAGGAAGATTTGTTTAAAGCTACAGACAATGCAGTCGCTGTTATTTTATCAGTTTTAGACTTACCTATTTATGCAATGCTTTTGACACAAAATGAAAAGCATGCTTTTAAAGCAAGCCTTGCAAATGCTGATTTTGCTTGATTTTTTTTCAGTTTCAGAAATACTTTCTAAGAGGGAGAAGGGTATGGGTCCACTCTGCAACCAGTGACCTTTAATTTGAAGGTATGGATCCCAAGAACAACCCATTGTTGTCCCCCAATTCAGGGGAAAAAATAGAGGAACCAATGGAATATATTCTGCCACTTGGGGTAGCAAACCAAACATGCCAGTATGGCATAAAAAATGATGATGATGCTCTATATGCTGCTGTATCAATCTTTATATAAAAATAAACAAGTATATCCATCTCATTAGTATGCAAATTGACTTTTGTCTTTAATAAATGATAAAATTCTATGCATACAAAATAATTGTTTTAAAATAAATGTCTTAATGATTTATTATCAGTAAATGTTTGATTTGTATGTCTGTTGTGTGTGTGTGTGTGTGTGTATCTCCAGTATATAATTTTTCAGGCAAAAAGTGGCAATGAGAGGAAAAAGTTTTAAGAAGCTCTGCATTAGGACACCCACACACACAATATATGCAATATATGTTTGTGCCTTGCCTTGGAGATACTCAGCTATGTGTATTCTCTGGATAAATTGATTGTCATAGATGATCCAGAAAAAATATTGGTGGCATTTAGCAGATTGTGGTTATGGTATTAGGAAAATATGGTATTGGGAAAAATTAGGAAGCCCCTGCCTTCAAATTGATCTGAACGCAGCATGGAGTTCCACAGTTCCTGGAGTATGAATTTTCCAAGTATCTACAGGACAGTGGCACAAGAAACAGCTACAACAAGAAATTCTTCTTTTCCTCCCTTGGCCTCTTTGTAACAATCCCCCAATAAAAAGTATCATTTTTCCTAACTTTCTGCTCTCTGCATGATACAGTGTGTCCTTTACTGATTCTAACTCTGCTTCAGCCATAAACCTTCTCTTTCCTGAGCCGCAAAGCCCTGCTGGCTTGGCTGGGATGCTCAAAAGGTGTCCCGGGGGGCACGGAACTGCGATCCTTTAAACTGCAGATACCGAGACCCACCCGGTTTCAGTATCCGTGACTTAACCGATCGGCTCCGAACCAACACCATATTTTCCCCTGATTAATTATATGATTAACTGCTATCTCGCTTTCTGCTGAACAGACCCCTACGCCACTCCAATCTACTTTTTTCCCATCCACAAAATCCCATGTGGAAACCAAAGACCTTTTTTGTGGTCCCTTGGTTCCGCATGACACCGCATGTCTGTGTCCAGTTTTTTTCTTTTGCGTATCACCTCGAGTGGTGCCTGATGGTGCCTGCAGACCCCAGAAAAACCCTCTTGTGTCACACCTAAAACCCCGTGTGCCTAGGAGGGAGTCTCTCATCTGGTATCAAGCACTGATTGAGGTTTTGGGTTTTCACCTGCCATTTTTGGACTCTTGCTTGCTGTGGTGTTCATGCGAGGATCTGTAGATTTTAGGATGCTATTTCTTGGTTTAAGGTGTTGGCTTGCTGGCTGATATCCAAACAGAAGGTGAGCCAGAGATGTTACTACCTTGGTCCTTTCATTACAGATTGTTACTTCTGGCGGATGTCAGGTGGCGCAAAACCGGCTAAACAGTATAATTTATCCAGTAGTATTGGGTGTAGACATCCTATGATAATGTGGGGTGTTTCATTAAGAGCCACATTCACTGTTTTAACGTGAAGATGAGATGCATTCCCCATTGGGCATACATACTCAGCAGCACAGTAGCAAAGCACAAGGGCAGATGTCGTCACTGTGTCTGGTTGTGAACCCCAGGTTGTGCCCGAACAAGCATCTTGAGCTCTTAGGATTACCTGGGAAGGAATCCCACTGGAGCACACCAAAATACCTGGGAGTTACTGTGGACTGTGCTCAGAAAATTTTTTGGGGGGAGGTTGAAAATTTCGGAGGGGGGGTTAGGGTCATGCTGAAGCAAAGAGCACAGCAGGGGGCAGAGCAGCCTTCAATAGCCTGCAGCTCCACCCCTGTCAACCACCTCCACCAAGTCTGGCCTCCTTAATGAGAGCATTCAACCCCCCCCCCCCCCAACTTGGTTGCTTCGCTACATCGGCTATTGCTGCAAGTAATGACAGTGTGAATAAATTGTCAATATTTGCTTGAGATAGTGCTTGCAGTTCTGGAGGGACTCCTAATTTTTTGCGTCTTATAGACTTAGCATGGGGATTTGGTTTTGTTGTTCATTCGTTCAGTCGTCTCCGACTCTTTGTGACCTCATGGACCAGCCCACGCCAGAGCTCCCTGTTGGCCGTCACCACCCCCAGCTCCTTCAGAGTCAAGCCCGTCACTTCAAGGATACCATCCATCCATCTTGCCCTTGGTTGGCCCCTTTTCCTTTTTCCTTCCATTTTCTCCAGCATTATTGTCTTCTCTAGGCTTTCCTGTCTCCTCATGATGTGGCCAAAGTACTTCAACTTTGTCTCTAGTATCCTTCCCTCCAGTGAGCAGTCGGGCTTTATTTCCTGGAGGATGGACTGGTTGGATCTCCTCGCAGTCCAAGGCACTCTCAGAACTTTCCTCCAACACCACAGCTCAAAAGCATCGATCTTCCTTCGCTCAGCCTTCCCTAAGGTCCAGCTCTCACATCCGTAGGTTACTACAGGGAATACCATGGCTTTGACTAGGCGGATCTTTGTTGCCAGTGCGATGTCTCTACTCTTTACTATTTTATCGAGATAGGACATTGCTCTCCTCCCAAGAAGTAAGCGTCTCCTGATTTCCTGGCTGCAGTCTGTGTCTGCAGTAATCTTTGCACCTAGAAATATATAGTCTGTCAGTGCCTCCACGTTTTTTCCCTTTATTTCCCAGTTGTCAATAATTTTTGTTGCCATAATCTTGGTTTTTTTGATGTTTAACTGCAACCCAGCTTTTGCGTTTTCTTCTTTCACCTTGATTAGAAGGCTCCTCGGCTCCTCCTTGCTTTCGGCCATCAAAGTGGTGTCATCTGCATATCTAAGGTTGTTAATGTCTTCCAGCAATTTTCACCCCAGCCTTGCATTCATCCAGCCCCGCACATCGCATGATGTGTTCTGCATACAAGTTAAAAAGGTTGGGTGAGAGGATGCAGCCTTGCCGTACACCTTTCCGGGGATTTGGTTAACCAGTAAAAATTCATGAGTAAACCAGGTTTTTTTTAATCTGAAAAAATTCGGGGGGGGGGGGGTTGAACCCCCCCCCTCCCCGGGGCTACAGACCTGACCGTGCTCTGACTTATGAGAAGCACTGCTTGACTAACAAGCAAAAAGTGAGTGCTAGAAATAATATCAATATCAATCAGTGCTATTGGTAAGGCATAAGTTTGCCTTCCTGTTTTTTTTTTCCCTGTACAATACATATCATATTTAATGTCAACACTTCATTCTTGTTGATTTTATTCCCTTTCTCCCCCCATGAATCCAAGGCAGTTCCCAAAGCTAAGAAGAAGATTAGCTGAAAATCTCTGAGGGTTTTATTTTTCTTCCTTGGTTTCTATATTCTCAAAGCAAGGAAGAGTCTCTGGGAAATGAGATAATAACAAGGGTGTGTTTTCTCTTCTGGGAATCCTTTTCATTTTCACTTTCGCTTCCTCCTGGCTTTCTTGGGAGACACGAGGAGAGAGAAGGCTGAAGGGAGAACAAAGCCTCTGCGAAGGAAAGGCAGCCAAAAGGGTAAGAGCGCCCAAATGGGATGGAAGGAAAGAAACTCCAGATGAGCATTAGATGGCTGAGGGGAACCTTGTGGGGATGGAGTCCCAAGGCCCTTCCACACAGCCATATAACCCAGAAGATCAAGGCAGAAAATCCCACATTATCTGCTTTGAACTGAAATATATTGCCTGTGTGGACTGAGATAATCCAGTTCAAAGCAGATACTGTATAATTTTCTGCTTTGATATTTTGGGATATAGGGCTGTGTGAAAAGACCCCTTGGCTGTTGGAGCGAAAGGGGAAAGCAATAACAACCTTTGGGGAGTGTAAACAACAATGGTTTGTGGGTTGGGCCTGAAGAAAGACTGTGGAACAGGGGAACACATCACTAATGAAATAAAAAGGGGGCCATGAGAAAGTCACACTCTCTCAGCCCCAGAGGAAACCATTCCGAGCAAGGAAACGGGGAGCCCTTCCACACAGCCATATGACCCAGAATATCAAGGCAGAAAATCACACAATATCTGCTTTGAACTGGACCCTCTTCCACGCAGCTGTATAAAATCCCACATTATCTGCATTGAACTGGATTATATGGCAGTGTGGACTCAGAAACCCAGTTCAAAGCAGACATTGTGGATCTTTTTTTCCGTGTCAGTAGCAACTTGAGAAATTGCAAGTCACTTCTGGTGTGAGAGAATTGGCTGTCTGCAAGGACATTGCACAGGGGATGCCCGGATGTTTTGATGTTTTATCATCCTTGTGGGAGGCTTCTCTCATGTGCCCGCATGGGGAGCTGGAGCTAACAGAGGGAGCTCATCCGCATTCTCCCTAGATTCGAACCTTCAGTCCTGCCAGCTCAGGGGTTTACCCCACTACGCCACAAGGGGCTCCTTGTGGATTATCTGCCTTGATATTCTGGGTTATAAGGCTGTGTGGAAGGACCCTGGTTATCTGAGTCCACGTTGCCCTATATTCCATTTCAAAGCAGGTATGTGGGATTTTATTCAGCTGTGTGGAAGGAGGCAGAGTGTTAAGGCCTCCATAGGTGGTAAAAGACTTAGGGCCCTTCTGCACAACCCTATATTCCAGAATATCAAGACAGAAAATACCACAATATCTGCTTTGAACTGGGTTATCTGAGTCCACACTCAGATAATGTGGGATTTTCTGCTTTGATATTCTGAGATATAGGGCTATGTGGAAGAGCCCTTAGAAGTGCATTGCTGTTGGTAAAACCTTCCCTCAGGAAAGTGAGACCGAAATGTGTGGCATTTCTCTGGTACCTCCACTTTCTCTGGTACCTCCACTAAGGAGGTCTGTGGGCCCTACCACACAGCCATATAAACCAGGACCCTATATTCAGGATCTGATCCCAGGTTTTCTGTTTATCCCAGATTATCTGGCAGTGGGGACTCAAATAATCCAGTTTAAAGTAGAAAACCAGGGATCAGATCCTGGGATATAGGGCCTGTTTGGAAGGGCCCCCAGAATATCAAGGTAGATAATCCACAGTATCCGGTTTGAACTGGATTATCTGAGTCCACACTGCCATATACTCCAGTTCAATGTGCATTTTATACAGCTGTGTGGAAAGGGCCGATGTCTCTTGTGTCATGGGTGGAGACATGGCAGTCAGTGGGGAAAATCCACGCCACTGCCCTGCTAGTTTCCCTTCTTGTTCAGGGTGAGAAAGTACACTGTCCTTACAAAGCAAACACCACCCCCCCCCCCCCCCCCCCCCCCCCCGCTCCAATGTAGTGTCAGTTTACAATAGGCAGGATATGGGCTGAACAGTCTGTTTTCAAAGTGCTCTTGTTTCCTCCCAAGGAAATGAGAGCCAGCTTGTGGTGCACAGTCCTTTGAGAATAATCCCTGCCAACTACACTAAGAGTTAATGCAGTTTGACACCACTTTTAACTACCTTGGTTGAACACTATACAATTCCATGGGGCTGTAGTTTTACAAGGTTTACCCAGTCTTGAGCCTTCTCTGCCGAAGGGTGCTAGTGTCTCACCAAACTACAACTCTCATGATTCAATAGTGCTGGGCCGTGGCAATTAGAGTGGTGCATTTACTATATAGTGTATATAGAACTTAAGAATCTGAAGGGACAGGGCTGAATTCACATCTAACTTTAATCTTCTGTCCTTGGTCTTCATCCCCTGTGCTTGCTCTGAAGATATTACAAAAAAGCTCCCCCCTCTCCCTAGCAACAAAAAGAAAACAAATGCCAGTTTATTTATTTATTTATTTATTTATTTAGTACATTTCTATACTACCCCTCTCAGCCTTCCAGTGACTTGAGGCAGTTTACAAGGCAAGAATTCAATGCCACCAAGGACACAACTATAATATACAATATGAAATCAACAATAAAATCAAACATTATAATGAAACATACTTCAATCGATAATCATTAAAACAATGGCCAGTTCCGCCATATAGTTATTCCATTATTATATCTGTACTCCGTATTTTCAAATGCTCGCTGAAATAGCCATGTCTTAAGATTCTTCCAGAATGATAGGAGCGAGGAAGTCAATCTAATCTCCCTAGGTAGGGTGTTCCATAGCCGAGGGGCCACCATTGAGAAGGCCCTGTCTCTCGTTCCCACCAACCATTCTTGTGATGATGCCGGGACCGAGAGCAGGGCCTCTCCAGATGATCTTAAAGTCCTTGCAGGTTCATCAATGTGTGATTTATTCCCAGTGCAAACAACCTATTGAGAGGACAGATTGTCTTCAAGATGACAGAACGAATTGTAGTTATGTATTTGCCAGTTGTTTCTCACCTAGTGATAAAAAAAAACAATGCCCTGAATTGGTGCAAAAGTCGGTCATAATCCTATATTGGGAGAGGTGGTCTTTCGTTCCAAGTCTAAACTTGATTGGTCATTTTGTGATAAGAAATTGTGAATACGTCTGCTGGATTTAGTAGGGCTTGGGTCTGAATTAACATGAATTAAATGTACTGTCTCCCATCAAGATCAAGGAAACATTAGTAATCCAAATGTATTGAACTGTAGCTCCAGTTATGCATCTCTATTAGATGTATGGGTTTCCCTAGATTGGGTTTCCTTTCCATGTACTGTACATCCTGATGACCCTCCAAACTATATCTATATAATACATAATTTGTTGTTATTTCATATTCTTTTTTAGATTAAGAATGGCTGGAATTCAATCTCGATTGACTGAAAAGGACAATAAGGGACTGCTACATGTAGTGGGATGCAACAACTTAAGCCTTTTGTATAAGGGAAGCGTTCATGGATACAATGCAAACATATTTCATAACATCTGCAACCGACAAGGCCCAACTGTAGTTGTAGCATATAATGCAAGTGGTTATATTTTTGGAGGCTTTACTGCAAAGAGTTATACCTCCTCTGAAGCAGTTGTAGCAGATGAAAAGGCATTCCTTTTTCGATTGAAAGGGAAAGAGGAAGAACTTGGCCCTCTCAAATTCCCCGTCAAAGATGCCAATCAGGCTATAACTGATAAAGCAGAATTAGGTCCTTGCTTTGGCTTTGGAGCTGGATCTCTGGTATTCCTTTCACAAAATACTGCTGCAGTAGCCACCAATGCTGATGCTGGCTGCTATGTTTTCCAAGCAGAAGAGTTACATGGAAATGACCAGGCCCTTTTAGAATGTGAAGTATATCGAGCTGAAGGTGAGTTAAAATAAAGACATAAGATTCTCTGCATGGAGGTCAGCAGATTTTACACTTTCTTTCTTTTGAATATTTTTCTTCAGATATTGGTGAAATGTTGGAGAAACCATGGAGGAATGTCAACTGGACATCTGGGTAGGTTGATTTGAGACTATCAATCGGAGATTATCAATCTATTATACGTGGGTTGTAGTAGTAATTACAGTGAACAATGTATGGTGCCATTTAATGTTAATTGTCAGGTGTATGGATGATGGTCCATAGGGCCAAAGGTTAAAAAAAATCCCAGAATCTCATGTCCATTACACAAGACAGTCAGCACAGGCCATGTAGTGTGATGCAACAACCAAAAAAGTCAGTGCAGTTCTGAGCTACATCAAGATTTATTTATTTATTTATTCACAGTTATTTCTATTCCACCCTTCTTACCCCGTAAATAAATATTTATTTATTTATTTACAGTATTTCTATTCCACCCTTCTCACCCCAGAGGGGTATAAGGGTGGATCACAATGCACACAGACAAGGCAAACATTCAATGCCAAAGACACACAACATATATAGACAGAGACACAGAGGCTATTTAACTTTCCAGCTTCATGAGGGTATGCTTTTTGAATTCTGGCCACCGGGGGATCTGTCACGTCACTATCCACTTGAGGCACCAATGGAGTACTTCCTCATTCTTTTGCCTGCTACTGGAGAGTGTTTTATGGTATCGTAAATTAGTTAAATTAGCCTCCCTGCATAAGTGGTACCTAAATTTTCTCCTTGACAGATGCAACTATCTTTCAGGCTGCAAAGGTCAGCAGCAAGCTAGACAAATGGCCGGAAGCTCACTCCGACCCAGGCTGACTTCAAACTCATGACCTCTCGGTCAGTAGTGATTTTAATGCAGCTGACTCCCAACTAGCTGTGCCACATAGTGTCCTGATCAAGAGAAGTGTTTTATTTTAAGAGTTGTTTAACAGTGGAATGGATTACCTTGCATTTTTCCAAAGTGTGTGTTGGCTGTTATCCACCAGTGTGTCGCATAAAAATGCCCTCCATAAGTGAAGATGTGTGGTGGATGCCCCTGGGGAGCAGCAACATACAATTCCAACATATTAAATTCCAATGTGTTAAAATTAAAAATTAAGTTTAAATTAATACATATTGGATATTTAAAAACATTACATTCATATTAAAATGATGCCATCCATAATCGTAGTCCAAGCCATACCATGGTCATTGCACACATTCCAAATCTGTTATTACACTGCACTATTCTCTGAAGACCTGATCCCCACCCCCCAGCCAAGTTTTTACTTTTCTTCTGAAGGCTAGGAGGGAAGGAGTTGATCTAATGTTAATGGGGAGGGAGTTCCATATCTGAGGGGCCACCACTGAGAAGGCCCAGTCTCTCTTCCCCACAAGTTTCGCTTGTGAAGGGTGTGTGTGTGGGACTGAGAGCAGGGCCTCCCCCGATGATCTTAATCTCTGAGGTTTAAGATTTAAAACTATGTTGACTGGGCTTGTCCCCATGTAAGCCCTGAGTCCCTTCGGGTAGATGGTGGCTGGATATAAAAATAAAGCTATTATTATTGTTGTTGTTTTTACTGTTTACACAGTAAAGGTTATATGAAACATATATGATATATAGATGATAGATGATAGATAGATAAATAGATAGATAGATAGATAGATAGATAGACAGACAGACAGACATAAGACGTTGGTTTAACCTTTAGGTTGCTAATAAAGCTGAATAACTGTGTCACAAAAGGATACATAGGATACATATCTAAAAAAAGCATGTCACCAATTTGAAATGTCTGGAAAACACTGCATTAGACACGTCTTCTTTGGAGGTCTTTATACAGGTTGGATTGACGTCTTCCAGGAATGCTGTAGTTGTATATCCATCTTGAATGCGGCTTTCCTTTTTCTACTGCCTTTACATCAAGCCACTTCGCCATATGAATAATAATTTATAACTGTATAAGCCAATGTAGCTGATAGATACATGCTTTACTGTCTCATCAGGGAAAGAAGAGAACTGATGAGCCAGATAGCAGCCTACAAGCCTCGTTTGAATTCAGTACCACAGTTTCGTTTTCTGTTCCTGGGACCAATTGGAGCAGGGAAATCCAGCTTTTTCAACTCAGTGAAGTCTATTTTCCGGGGCTATGTGACAAGTCAGGCCATAGCAGGATCTGATTCTACTAGTGTGACATTGCAGGTTTGCTTTGCACTACTAAGTTTAAAATTAAGATGCATTCGGTCAGCCTGTAATTTCCATTACTCTTTTTCTTGATGTTTTAGATACATTTCTCAATAAGATTTCAAAAAAGTCAATTTTAATTCCTGATTTCAATTGACCAATGGCCAAGTCCATTCACACTGAAATATTAGCGAAATAAATATTAGCGTTTTTGTAAAGTACATTTGAAACTTTTCATACTAATCTCAGTGTTAGAGGTCAAAAGGCAATCGTTCACTGAAGCTCAAATGTGTCCACATGAGGGATTTGCCAAGTCCAGCAACCAAGGTGTAGAATTAATGTGGGTTGAAAACCATTTTAACTGTCATGGCTCAACACTATGAAATCCTGGAGTGTGTCTAATACTGGTGAAGCACCAGTCCTTGGGAGTGGACCAAAAGGAAGAGAGATCCCACTTTCTTCCACCTTCCAGTGCTACTCTGACCAGAACAACCTGACAGTGCCCTTGGAAGTGATGGGTTGTCCTGGACTTTGCTCGCCTTTAGAATTGCTCTGTAATTACAAGCCTTTAACATTAGTATATATTTCAAGTAAATAGATGTAATGTTTGATAAACAGAAATACCAATGCCAGTAGGAAAAACTCTGTTCTTTTTGTAGCCTTGTGGCTATATCTTAAAATTATATTTTGCAATTTGATATATGTTGCAAAATCATGGGAATTTTTTTTCTGGGGAGATATCCTGGACAACAGTGAACCAGTAGTAGACTACCAAATGGATGATTCAGACATTAATAAATCCTCTGACTTAGAAGCTCCTTTTTATGGTAGCTCAGCCCAGCCCAGCCCCCCTCCCCCATATGTTTTGCAGCATTAGCATTGAAAGACTGGTGACAGAGGTTGGAGAAAGACAGATTTCCAGAGATGGGTTTCAGCATTGTTTCTGCAGTAAATAAGCCAACAAACAATGCTTGACCTGGAAAATAATGGAGTTGTATTCTGAGGGCTGTAGAATTAGTGAACGGTGACACTACTTTTACTTCCATGGCTCTCTTAATGTTATGGTATCCTGAAAGTTGTAGATTTACAAAATTTAGCCTTTTTTTTGCCAAAGAGTGTCAATGTCTCACTAAACTACAAATCCCAGGCTTCCATAGCATTGAACTATGGCAGCTAAAGAAAATTCAAACTGCATTAATTCTACTGTGTAAATGTATTCTAAGTGATTGTACTATGGCAGAAACAGGTAAGGGAAACAGTTTCCTCTGATATCATCTACTGAACATGCATGAAGAGTAAAACAGAGAGAAAAGGAGAAAACAGATAGGTCTGTCTCACCAAGTACCCTGAGATTTTCCTACTAAAATGGAAAACATAAAAAATGGAGGCTGCTGAAAGGGGAAAAAACACCTTGGGGATACATTACTAGTGGCCTCCAGATAATTTAAAATGTTTTCCCTCTTATCTAAGGCTTATCTGCCTTAGCTGTTTCATACCTGTATAACGTTAGTTTAGAATTAAAAGTTTCATCAAACCTTTTAGTGCCATAGGCATTTATTCCTGCTCTTTTCATGTTATTTATTTCTCTTGTACCACAGTTGCTATTAAAGAGGTAAAGCCCAGGAACACATTTTCTTTGTTGACTGTCATATATCTGTAAAATATCCCAATAGGTATTGCATATTGAGGCAAAAAAATTTCATGCACATGCTAATAGCAGTGTCCAATTTTAAGTTATTGCCTTAAATCTAATTGCTGGTCCCTGTCCGTGAAGGTTTAGGCTCAATGGGATTTACATAAATGACTTAAAAGATCCTATTGATTCAGTAGGTCTACTTTAGTTGTGACTAACAAGTGTATTTAGGTAACTACACTTACGTTTTGAATAAAGTGGAAATTGGGAGGCCTGTTTTATAAATTCTGGGATATTATACCATGTTTCTTCAGTTGTAATGTGCCATTGTTTGCAAGACACACACTAATTTCAGTACTACTACCACCACCAACAAAAACACATAAGATACACCTGTGATTCTAAGACTCACCTCATTTTTAGAGATCTTTGTATAAGAACAAAAAGTGTCTTAGAAATGAAGAAATAGTATTTATTATAAAGTTTTTCCTTTTTACCAGTATTTAATATTTGCTCTCTACCTGTTGAAAAAGAAAACAAAGTGGATATGAATGTTTGTAATACTGTTTAATTTGGTACTTGTTTTTTTTAAAGTACAAAATGTATAATATTAATAATGAAGACAGTGGAAAACACTTACCGATCAAGTTCTGTGATACTGTGGGAGTAGAAGATAAGCAAGGAAGTGGTCTATACATTGAGGAAGTGCCTAATTTATTACGAGGACATATTCCCGACAACTATCAGGTAGGATGAATCTGATGTTCCTCCCAATTACATTATTTTTACATCTGCCTTATCTGGTAGTCTATGACTGATTCTTCATCACATGCAGATCTCTGGCATGATAACTTCAGAAAAATACAATTAGAAAAAGGCTGATCTATGTGGCAAGCAATATGATGTCCATGCTATGCAAGCTCATATTTAAAAGCGCTTTTCAATAATGTGATTAAAAAATTATTGCAGCTATGTAGAAACCTGTTCACCACATGGATTCCTATGTCGATTGGCTTGAACAAGGTTGAACTTTGAAGTATTGGTCTGCTGCTTGTGGGTGTGACATAGACTTACTTCATTTCCAATTCCAATTTCGAGTCTCCAACTTAAAAAAAATGGGTGTGTTGTGCAGCATTGTGTGAAAGGCATTTCCAAGGTACAAGAGGATGGGTTATCCATGCAGGATCTCATAGTCTAAGTATAGGGAAAACAAGAAAAATAAAGGAGATTCAATATATTAAATAATAATAATATGCCAAATAACAATGGTTGACATCATCACATAACCATAGTAAATTACCTAACCTTTCTCTTTTCCTGCCAAATGAGAAAACCTAAAACTTTCTTATTTTGTTTCTCTTATTTTATGTAACACATCTGAAACCCTGTAGACCAGATAATCCTTGATAAATGTTAGGTCATAGATACCTTTCTAGCAGTTTATATTAGAAATCAGATTCTGTCCTAGCTATTTTCTAATAGTAGTATTGTTATATTTCTCATTTTCAGTTTAATTCATCTGCTGCTATACAGCCTGATACCCCAGGCTACATCAAATGCCCACTTTTGAAGGACCAGATCCATTGTGTTATTTTTGTTATTGATGGTTCCAAGGTTGAGATCCTTTCTGAAAACCTGGGAGGAAAGCTGAGAGAAATTCGACGGAAAACTAACAAACTTGGTCAGTTTTTTACCTTTACATTTTGTGCAGCCTGAGACCAATATTTGATAAGGTGATGCTGTCATGTTGGTCTGTGCTCCTTAAAACAGGATGAAACCCTGGGGTCCTCTAGTCTACATCATGGCTTCTTAAACTCAATGTCATCATCTTATCTATCAAAACTATTATGTTTATGTCTTGTCTTTCCTCCAAAGCTGGCATTCAAGACAGCTTGCAAATTTAGAGGAGTACAATATTAGTTGAAAATGTACAAAAAGTCATGAAACATTGATTGTCTAAAACATACACTGTAAACATGTAAAAAGCAGTAAAAAAAACCCCCCACCCCTCAGCACATTTATGGTACTCCAGCACCCCTTTCAAAGTCCTTTTGTTAAAAACCTTCATTTTTAAAAGCCTGTTGAAATAAAAAATGTCTTTGCCTGCTGGTAGAAGGATATTTAGGAGTGGGACATTCTAGTCTTCTGGGGAAAAGAGTTATAGAACTTATGAGTAGCCATTAAGGCCCCACCCACACTGCCATATAATGCATTTTCATAATGCAGTTTAACTAATAATTGAGTTAAATAACATTATGAAACTGCATTATATGGCAGTGTAGATGGGACCCAAGAAGGCTTGTCTCCTGTTCCTGTGATGATGGTAAGATTGAAAGAAGAGCCTTTCCAGAGTATCTTGGGGCTCTGATCGCTGATATATAAAAATACATTATGTCTGCTAGATATGAGCTCTGGAGTACTTTATAGGTCATCACCAGCACTTTGAATTGTGTCTGGAAGCAAGACCAACCAAAGGTGGAACTGCTATAGCAGGGGAGTTGTATGATGCCTGCATTTTAAGAGACAAGCTGGGTCTACACTTTCATATGATCCAGTTGCAGTATGTAGATTAACTGTTTTGAACTGGATTATATGCATCCATACTACCATGTAATCCAGTTCAATGCAGATAATCCACATTCAGAAACTGGATTATATGACAGTGTGGATGGAACCTGAGAAATTCATGTTGTCATTGTTTTAGTAAATGTCTTTTCATAATAGGTTTTCTTCCTCTAGGCATTCAACAACTTGTAATACTTACAAAAGTGGATGAAATTTGCCCTTCTCTTGAAGAAAATGTTTCAGATGTATATAGGAGCAAAATAGTTGCTAGAAAGGTAAATGCTGGCAATCTATATTGACTCTATGGAAAAGCAATATTTTGATCAAGCAGGATTGATCTTCTGTTATCAATCTGAACTCAGGATACTAACCTTTTCATTCATTTTTGCTACTATATGGAAACAAATGCTTTTCTGAGTGATACATTTAAAAGTTGCCATATTGAATAAATATGTGATCTTGAACACATTGAAAGGCCTTGCTTGCTGGCTTTTTAAAGGGGTCTGAATATCAATTTCTATCTCTATCTATCTATCTATCTATCTATCTATCTATCTATCTATTCTGTGTTACTTGATGCCTCTGGTTTGGAAATGAACCTAGAGGTTCTTAATAGATTGCTATATAATAGGGAACATGAACTGCAGCCCAAGCACAATTTCTCTACTTAAGAGAAGATCTGGGCTTCTCTAATTGGTTGTTAGAAAACTCTGGATATTCTGTATTTTGTTAGAGATAATAAAGTGAACCATTGTGGGGTAGCAGTTTGAAGGTTAGATAAGGACCATAGGGAACAGGGTTTGAATCCCCACTTGGGTCTGGAAACCTACTGAGTCACCTTGACAGGCCACACACTCTTAGCCTTGGTAAAAGATAATGCCACAGGGATAAAAACCCTGTGATGGATTCATCAAAGGGTTATCATGGCCATGTCTACATGGGCCGAATAAAACAGCCTCATTTTGCAACCGCTGTGAGAAGTCTACACAACGTATGGCCAATTTCACAGTCGAAGTACTTCCAAGTACTAATCCAGCACAAGGGGAACTGCTGTTTACTCCTGAGCAATTTATTCTGGAATTTCACATTTGTTTACTTCAGTTTATTATTTTGGGGATTAATTGGAACAGTATCAACTTTTTTTTACTGTTTGTTCAAGTGTAGGGTGCTGAAATAATGGGAAATTCATACTGAAATTAATATTTTAAAATAGGGAAAATTATAGGCGTCAGAACAAAAATGTTTTCACTTGTCCCAAACCTAGTTCACTTACACATAAAACAACCTATCCACTACAAAACACATAGAAAGCACTTTCAAAATATGATAAGTGCATTACATATGCAATTTAAATGATGTTTGAAAGTGATATTCTATCAAACAATAAACATTTTTGAAATGTAAAGAGGGAAGGTAAAAAGTAACCACAGTACAGGGTAGGAAGGGGCTAAATGTATAAAGAAGGAACCACTTGGGCTTTAAACTTTTTCAAACAGTGTTTTACATTTGGACATGTGTTATCACCTATATTTATCTTTTTCTGTTTTAACATACTAGGTGTTTGGTCTGTATGCCAAAGAGTTGCCTCTACACTTTGCAATTTACACATGAAGTTTATGAAATATCTCAGGAAATAACGAGGCCAGGACTGTCAGTGCTAACAATTGTTAAAAGTAGTTGGGTGAGAAAATGAGATTTTACTTGACAACTATTATGTTTTTATTTCCATTGTAGATGCAGTTAACAGCAGAAAGACTTGGCATCCCTTTGTGTAACATAGTTCCTGTTAAAAATTATTCTGTAGAACTGGAACTCAAAGATGATGTTGATATCCTGATTCTGATGGCAGTCAGGCAGATGCTGCGTTTAGCAGAAAGCTATCTAGATAATTTTTCTTCAGACACAGACTGCACACCGGATTATTATTCAGAATATTGATAGGCTTATTGAAGCTAGTTTTATTGCTTTTTTGTGTTTGATTGAGCTAATTCTGCTTACAAATGATTGAACAGTTGTATCTGAAAGCCTGAATGTTTTCATGAAGAGATATTTTGTTTAGATCTCATATCTGAGTTTCCTTTTTGGAACTCACTTTCATAAAATTGTTAACTTGTTTTTGAGTTTTTAAAAATGTGCAGAACTTTTAATTCTGATCCACAATGCTGAGAAAAGTTATGTCCTTGCTTTTTTATTATGTGACAGTATATTATTTCTGTTGTGAATTTGATTTAACTAGAAATCCAAAAATAAATTATGTAAATAGAAAAGTCAGTTATAATATTGAAGGGCCGTTCCACACAGTCATATAACCCAGAATATCAAGGCAGAAAATCCCACAATATTTGCTTTGAACTGGGCTATCTGAGTCCACACTGCCATATATTCCACTTCAAAGTGGATTTTATTCAGCGGTGTGGAAGGGGCCCGAGTCTTCCTGAGTAATACCAGTATGTATTCTTATACTGTGCATACATACATGTGAAACATTGTGAAAGGCTTCTTTTAGGTGTAAGCAACTATGTTAGAATTTAGGTTATGTATCTTATATCTGAAATAGTTGAGACAAGAAAAGTTTTGGTTTTTAAATTATTTTTTGGAATACCTATATTTACAAACATGTGCATAATGGGTTATCTTGAAGATGGAACCTAAGTCTAAACATCAAATTAATTTTTGACTTATTTATAGTCAGCCCTCCACATTCTGAAAAAGTGAAAAACTGTAAATAAAAATAGCTATTTTTAAATTGTGTTTCTTGTTTATTGGTATTATATACAGTAAATCTCTCTCTCTCTTGCTCAACAGACCATACACGCATGCACACGCACGCGTGCTCACACACACACACACATGTCTACATCCTCCAGCACATCTCTGTGGTCAACTGCCATTATAAGCTGACCATTGAATTCACTGGAGGACCTAGAGATTCCTAGAGATAATATTTTAATAATTTGATGAATCATCAAATCTGTTTCTCAAAAGGCAGATTTTGAACATCTTCACTTGCCACTCAAAACATCAGCCTCTGAGCAGATGTAAAATTTTGAGGAGGGAAAGAATCCAGTGGCAAGTGAAGATGTTCCCCTGACCAGTTTACACTCTATGGTGTAAGATTATTATCTGAGTATGGGTTTGAACTCACACTTTAAATCCAAGTTCATAAAAAGGTACTAATTGAACATAATTACTTGTAGCTCTCTGATGAAGTAGAAGGGTTTCACTTAATCCTGCTCATACCAAATACCGTTTCCTTTTTATTTCAGTTCTGTGCAGAATTCCTCCTTGTGGAATAAAATATGTTTGCAGTTTTCAGAATAGTTTTTTCTGTAGTTAGTGATTTGTATAGCACTACTGGAATGTGAAATCCATAAAAATGGTTGAATAATTCATTACAAAACTGGGGGATGCTGGCGCTTGGTTTCTAAAGTATTTCTAAAGTAAACTTAGTGAAAATTTCATTACTATTTTGTTATATTAATTTTGCATAATTAAATGAAATTGTGGAAACTTCAGGGGCTGTTATCTCCTTAATTTATAAAGTTATTGAGGTAAAATTCATTACAATGATAGAAAACATTTACAATTGTTAGCCCACCAAATGTTACAATGTTTCATTTGTCCACAGATTTTTGGCAAATTTTCAAAGTTTTTATAAAAACTTTTTTTTATAATAAAGTATGTTCTTACTTTGAAAGTGTTATTTCCTGTTTAATTGTGTAGTCTTTACTTTGAAAGTAGTAGCTCTACTCCAGAAGCTTTGTTTTTGTGGCAGAAACTTCGTTAAATTAGTGAAGGCTCAACAAAGCAAAATGTGCTATAGGGTGATGTCCCTTGCGCAAAGATAAAGTTTTTGCAGTTTAATAATTTTTTGCCATATTTTTAATGACAGACCCAATTAGGAACTGCCATTTATAACCCAGGAACAAAAATCATAATACAGGCACCATCAAGGGTAATCTAGAATGACCCCCCTTCTTCCAGGCAGAAAGGCACCATCCAAACTCCACTGACATCCAATTAATATGATTCCCCTGTTGAGTTGGATGGGACCCCAAGGACCATCCTTTTAGGTCAGTGGTCCTCAACCAGGTGTTTTGGCCTACAACTCCCAGAAATCCCAGCCAGTTTACCACAGGTTGAGAACCACTGTTTTATGTCATTATTTTTTTTCCAGCCCAGCTAGAGATTGGCTTACTTAGATAGAGAGATGTATCAGTCCTCTGCAGATCCTGGCTGCTGTTAGGGATAGACCTCTCTCTCTCTGCTATCCTGATTGGTGCTTTCTGATCCTGATGCAATCTGGGAAATGTAGTTTAGGGCGGGCAAACTACATTTGCACATGCACATAATTAAATTACTTCAATTAGGGAAACTTCAGGGCCTCTTTCCCCCCTCATTTTAACAGCTATTGGGATGAAGCTTGCTATAATGATAGAACAGGACATTTCACTTATCCATGGATTTTTTTGTGAATTTTTGAAGTTTTAGGGAGGGATAGTCTTCTCTCTATGCTATCCTGATTGGTTCTTGCTGATGCTAATGTAGTCTAGGAAATTAGTTTAGGGCAGGGCCTTTTGGCATAGGACTCCTCCCTTCTGAAACTATATTTCTCAGAGTTCTGTGCTGTTCCCAAAATGCACTGCTCCCTCTTTTGCCCACTGCTAATGCAAAGACTGCATTAATTTCTCAGAGGAATGGCAAGGCACTAAGGCAGCCTTTGGCATTGCTTCTTTGCCTTGTATTGAATATGAAACTGACTTTGGGAGCCTTCCAAGATTTATAAAACTAAAACAAAAAAGTATGGGGTAAGTTTTGATTCTAAAATATTTAGTGTGGGCCACACAAATGCTTCGAATATGGCTTCCAACTTATAAAAATTCAGATTTTCTTACAGTTTCTGAAACAGCTGATTTTTTGCACAAGTCTAAGCACTACATCAAAAAGAGGGACAGTACTTATCCATCTTCTGCTGCATCATTTCCCTGTTCTTTTAAAATGTTTTGTTCCTCCCACCCCTCTTTTTATTTCTCCCCTTTGTTTCCAGTTTACTTCAGTGGCTGCAAACTGCATTCAAAGCTCAAAGTAAAAGTAGATTCCTACTTTTTGGAATGATGGCAGAACAAAGAAAGTATGGAATCTTGTCCTTCCCAGAAGGCTCATGAAAAAGCAAAATGCTGCAGTCTCCCCTAGCTTGTGTGGGCTTTCTTCCTCAGTAGCAGGTGTCCTGAAACTATGGCCCACCAGCTGTTAGGCCTCCAACTCCCAGAATTCCTGACCATTGAATAAGCTGACTAGGGCTTCTGGGAGTTGACCCAAACAGCTGGAGGGCCGCGGTTTGAGGATGCCCGCTCAGTAGCTTTTGCCTTCTTGATCACACTGATGTTGCTTAGCCACACATGTTTCAATTCTCATTTGGGAAATGTTGAAGAGTAGGGGTGCTATGAGTCATACTCAATATGAGAGATTTCTTGTAAGTCTTAACTTATTACTGTAATAACAAAATGAGTGATACTGAACTCTGTTAGAAACATATAACATGGTGTGGAAAAACATGCTTCTGAGGTCTAGAATTTAATAAATGAAGACCAAGTAAGCATCTCTTTATCTTCCAACACAATCCTTTGGTATGGTGAGACCTGACGTGAGGTCATTTAATGTGATTGTTCATATCCGTGGTTTCATGTAACCATGGTCTGGATGGGAAAATATTCCTATGAATATGGGGCTCTTGCTGTACTAAAAAGTTACAAAATGCCACAGTAGCAGTACCCTAACAGAATTTGCTAGTATTTTGAGTATTTTTGATAAATCGAGTCAAGTCTGCCCTCTAGTGGAAGAAAATATGTACACTTAATTTATTAAACCACTATATTCATAACAGGTTTTTAAAAAATGCTTAGATGATCCCAGAACTCAGAGAAGCATGAGGGGGTCACTTTCAACCTCTCTGTATGAAGTTCTCATTTCCAGGAAGCACCAATTTAGCCTGTCTCCCATCATTGGCAAGATGTATCCTTTAATTCCCAAGAAAATGCCAACTGGGTAGAATTACTGTTAATCATTCCATACTTTGCTCTGAAATGGTGTAACATGGAACACTGATAGCTTAGCGGATCAATTTTCTGAATTACTTCACTCATAACTATCCAACATTTCACTATACAGATGAAGTAATCCTGACTGCACACTTGTTTTCTAGGAGTAAACAAGTTGGGTTGTTGTGTGTTTTCTGGGCTGTATGACCATGTTACAAAAGCATTTGCATTCTGTATGGCCATATTCCTAAAGCCTTTGCCGGCATCTGTGGCAGGCATCCTCAGAGATTGTGAGGTATGTTGGAAACTAGGAAAATGGGGTAAGAGGAGAAATTGGGTTTGTATTTGGTTTTATTGATTTTTTTGATTTTATGGTTATAATGTATATTTGTTGTTAACTGTGTATTGATGTAATTCTGTGTTTGATTGTCTTTATGATGCAGGCATCAAATTGTGCCTTTGCTTTTGTAAGCCGCCCTGAGTCCCCTTCGGGGTGAGAAGGGCGGGGTAAAAGAACCCCAAATAAATAAATAAATAAATAAATAAATAAATAATATCTGTGGAATGTCCAGGGTGGTAGGTAGGAGAGAATGTAGCAATTGGCCACTTTGATTAGCATTGAGTGGCCTAGCAGTTTTCAAGGTCTGGCTTCTTATTGCCTAGGAGAATCCTTTGTTGGGATTCCCCCATTAGCTGGCCCTGATTGTTTCTTGTCTGGAATTCCCCTGTTTTTGAGTGTTTCTTTATTTACTGTTATAAGTTAGTGGTATTTTTTTAAACATAGGTAGCTAGATTTTGTTTATTTTCATGGTTTCTTCCTTTCTGTGTTAAAAAAACTTCTAAAAATCATAACAGTAAATAAAGATCAACAATCAAAAATAGGAGAATTCCAGACAAGAAACAATCAGGGACAGCTAATCACCTCCCTACAAAGGATTCCCCCAGGCAGTAAGAAGCCGGACCTTGAAAACTGCTAGGTCATTCCATGCTAATCAAGGTGGCCAATTGCTACATTCCTACCTACTTCAAACAGACAAAATCATAGAATCATAGAATCATAGAGTTGGAAGAGACCTCATGGGCCATCCAGTCCAACTCCCTGCCAAGAAGCAGGAATATTGCATTCAAATCACCCCTGACAGATGGCCATCCAGCCTCTGTTTAAAAGCTTCCAAAGAAGGAGCTTCCACCACACTCCGGGGCAGAGAGTTCCACTGCTGAGCGGTTTTCACAGTCAGGAAGTTCTTCCTCATGTTCAGATGGAATCTCCTCTCTTGTAGTTTCTCCCACAACCCCTGAGGATGCCTGCCATAGATGCAGGTGAAACATCAGGAGAGAATGTTTTTGGAACATTGCCGTACAACCTGGAATACACCCAACAACCCAGTGATTCTGGCCATGAAAGCCTTCAACACGAAACAAGTTTATTATATGAATGGCCATGCTTCTCTGGTACCCTTTCCCTATAGCATACACAATAAATACAGCCTGCCCTGTCATTTTATGTGGTCTGCAAGGCTTTGAATACCAGGGCAACATAGTTAATTTATGCAGTCTTGCAATTACAAACAGCACCCAATGAAAATGAGTTTGTCATCCCTGCCCTATAAGATAATCTGTTAATGCTGGAATTTATGACTTGGGGAGTGAATCTTAAAATTTACAGAGTTCTAGGGAAAGGTACTCAAAGCATGTTATGGACAGGCAAGTTTTTTTTTCTGTGGAATCATGGAAAAACTTTAGATTTTTCTTCCTCTCTTCCCCAAACTATAACTTCTGCTTATCATACAATAGATTACAATATATATTCTGTTTTTTAAAAAAAGGTGGTAAAATTGAGGATCGTAAAACTTTAGCCTTTTTTAGAATTACAAAGAGATGGGTAGGAATCTGTGTCACTTTACCTGGGATGATTGCAAACCTGTGAAACAACCTGAAATTATTTCAGCTGAAATTAATAACCCTAAAATACCACTAGATGGTACAAGTGGCTCATAATTTAAAGTGTGAATATAAAGTACTTTCGATGGTACCTATTTGTTGTTACAGCTTCAGCCTTCTATTTTTTAAATGAAAAATAAAGATTTTGGGATAATAATGACAACGTTATTGCTTATTCTGTATGTTAGACATTCTAGGATACACTTGCCCCTTCCTTCACATTGTACTCAGGATTTGAAACATAGAGTTTTTAAACTAAGTCTTTTCCTTTATAGATGTCTTCATTAACAGTGCAAGGATGGATCAGTGGTTTAAACTTTGGGCTACCATTTTGGACACCAGGTTTGAATCCCTGCTATGTCTGGAAGCCCACTGGGTAATCTTAGGCAAGTCATACTCAGCTTTAGGCCGTATAATCCAGTATCTGAATCCAATTCATCTGATTTGAACTGGATTCTATGAGTCTACATTGTCATATAATCCAGTTCTAAATCCAGTTATGGGTTTAGAAATTGGCTTCAGAGGAAGGGAAAGCCAACCTATTCTGAACAAACACTGATAGGAAAACCTCATGATAGAGTGACCTTAGGATTCTTGCATGGAGGGGGTTGCACTGGTCTCCTGTGGTCTCTTCCCACTCTATGGGCGCTT